CTCAAACCTTGATGTAAGTATTCAATCTGTTAATTGAATGATACATCATATTTTATTTTTACATAAAACTTGTCTCTATGTGATGAATCAAGATCTATGTATTAAAATCTCTCGAAAAGTTTTTAAAACTTACACCTTTCCAACAGTTTATGCATGCTTTAGAGACCTGAATTTTTTATGTCATCAGTTAATAATGTTGTCAATATCTCTGTTTGCTTTAGATGTCTTTCTTTACTTTAGTGTATTTCTTTCATTAATTTTGATTTAAACATGTCAGTGGGTTTGTTCTGGCTTTTGTTTTATCCAACTTGGCAATGTCTTTGTAACTCACCTTTCTTATAATTGATCTTGGAGAAATTGAAGGTTTTAGAAATTCCTGTTTATGAAATTCCTATCTGACCAGTACTTAGGAAGTTTCTATTTTTGTCACTCTGCTGTGTTCAACTTTACTTCTAGAATCGACTGCATCCCCTAACGACGACTACGCACATCACCATCCTCATCTGCGCACGAATAGGGCTCTAATCGGACTCAAATCGAACGCAGAGGCGATTGCCACTTCAGCCTTGCAAGTGACCCAATCAAAAGACTCAAATCGGACGGCAGATGCGATGGCTAATTGAGCACCTAATCAAAAGACCCAATTTCATATTGTTCGGATTTTGAGTTGTTGGGTTTTGCTATACAAAAATTTGTGGGTATATGTGTGTAATTTGAACCCCTCTGTATTTGTATGTATATATATATATATAACTATATAGATATGTATGTGTGGCTTTGTGTGGTGGCGTTGGAACGGTGGAGGGGAAGATAGGTGGTGGCGGTGGCTGTCGCTGTCGCGGATGCTTCTAGGTCTCGCCGGGGTGTATATATATATATATATATATATATATATATATATATAGAGAGAGAGAGAGAGAGAGAGAGAGAGAGAGAGAGTGGAAGAGGGCGGTGGCCGCTGGTCCATTGAGAGAGAAGGGACTGCCTTTTTTTTTTTTAATTATTATTTTTTTATGCAAAATTAAAAAAATTTCTTAAAAAGTCAAAGGGTAATTTTGTCAATTTTTCATGTCAGTGGTGTATTTGTCCATTTTTTAACCTTCAAAAATGCCTTTGTCCAAAAAAATAAAAACAAATAAATCTTACCTGCGTGTCATTTTGTTGATGTACTTTCCTTCTCTTTTTATTTTTTATTTTAGCTCATGGCAGGAGGAGACAAGGAGAATCAGTATGCAGTTTTTTTTTCTGGGAGTTTGGTTTTTATATATATAGAAGGTATTTAATTATCAATTTGAGAAAAGAAAAAGAAAAAAAAAAGAGGCAAAAATACCATGAATCTTTAAAACATTTGGTCATTGATATTAGTGATACAGTAATTAATAAGTGTTGTTGAATAGACAGAGCTTGCTTGTTCATTGTGTGCACATGTTGGAGTATATATCGATTAATTTAATTATTTTTCTTGGGTTGAAATTTCCAAGGAAAGTGATGTACTGTGTTTTGTCGATCAGTTCACATGTGGTCTAAATATATAGGTGCGTTTAATGTATGCTATGTGATGCACTGATTTAAGGAAGTTCATAAATTTTGTAGGCGAAGAACATTACCAAAGTCCAAAGTCTCTCTACATACAAGTGTTTCAGCGACTTCTTATCGTTAAAGCCCCAAGAATTGGGCCTGAGAAATCTGTACAAATGGCATGGGGGCATTACCCCATGGGCCTAAGAAAAATGGACATAAGCCCAAAGGTAAAAAGATGGTAGAAGGCCCGTCAAAGACAAGGCCCAATAAAAGAAAATTACTCTACCTGAAATTCAAATTTGGACAGAACATCAACCAAGAGAAAAGAGGGACACGAAGCACAGGAAGAGACCCTTTTAAGTAAAGTGTCTGTGCCAGGCTTAGGTTTGAGGCAATATTGGCGCGCATTTGGATGAGAAAAAGATTGTAGGAAGCAAAGTAAAGAAATTTGGGTTAATTGACATGTTTTGAGCAAGCACAAAACAGTGAGATTGGGAGCTGAAGTTGTCACTAGAGCAGCAAAAGCAGTCTTCTAGCTAGGCCTACATAATAGTGGTGTTTGAATGTTGTCCCAACACTAGCTTGTACTAGTCCTTTTTGCTAATAATAATTTTCAATTTTTAGTGTCCTTGAAGTTTGATTATCCTTAATCAGAATGTGTTCTATTTGGCAATTGAAGAATCTATTGTATAGGGTAGTGTTAATATTTCTGAGAGAAGACAGGACAGAGGTTGTCCCAAAAGAGTGGCTGCATTTCTAGTGCATTTACAATTGTCGATAAACTGCCTTTTAGAAGAATGAAGATTTGTTTTAGGAGACTGTAATGGTTTAGAGGTGGACGTACTCAGACAATTGAGCAAGGCTGTTTGTGACATGTCATATGTTTTCATATTGCTAGGTTAAGACACTGATGGTTCTTAAAATTAAGCTGCAATAAGCCACATGTCACATGTATTGATTTTGCCAGATGAAGAAGACATTGATGGTTGTTAATTGAAATCAAGCTCTAACAAGGACCTTTTTTTCTTTGTCCCTATAAAGATCCTTGGTTAAAGAGAACAAATGAAAAATTAAGTTACTTTCGTATAAAGATTTCAGTATCTTCTTTTTTACTTCAGTATTTGGTTGTCTGTTGAGCTATTTGGAACAGGTGCTGGTGTATATAGATGTATATATGCTTAAACGGTATATATGACAAAAAAAACATATATAATTGAGGCTTAATGGCAAGATTTAGCTCTATGCTTTGACAGATTGTGATTTACCAGGTAGGTCTTGATACATGGATTTTTTTACCAGAACACCCTCAATGGAATTCACAAATAATTTAAGATCAGTCACCTGTAATTTTCTTGCAGTTCAATTGTTATGCTTAATTGCTTTCCTAATCTGTTTATGCATAACTTCAAGATAGTGACATTCAAGGAGCCTAACAAATGAGCTAATCTATATTGTATGGAGACTTGGATGTGTCTTCATACCGCATTGCCACAATATTGCATGCTAACCTATCGTGGCAAAGGCGATGAACTACTTCCAACTTCCACGAACCATCCAAACTCGCTCTTCATGAATTCACGGTAGCCATGAATTTGAGTTGGAGTTTATCGGCTACAGTTTTTCAGCATGATGTCATTGCGACTTTGATGAGAAAAACGACAGTGACACTGAGTCATTCGTGCACGAGGACTTGTCTCTAAGGAAGTTGATAATAAGCACATACTGGACTCGGATTTAGGAACCCTGTGTGTGGCCATAAGTGAGGCCTTAATAAGAGATAATCGGCAGTCAATAAGTAACTAAGTTCTATGAATGGGATGACATTGATTGAGCAGCTGATGTTGAAAGAAGACTCACTATAGATATTACTTTAAATTTAATTTTCATAATGAGTTTTTAGTAAAGTAAATATGGTAGGCATCATGTGCTTGATTTGTGATAATCACACTTAAAGACTATCTAACTTAAATTAGAAAACAAGTTATGTAATTTAATGGTGTTGTTTGAGGAAACCTTGCCTACTTTTCAAGCATGATCTGTTTTAACTACTCACCATATGGTTTTATTGTTTCAGCCAAGTGACATGTCTTTGTCACACAACAGGACTCGAGCTTTAATATGTTTTGAGTGTTGACACTTGCATCAACATAAGCTTCAGCCAAACCATTTCAAACCACAAACATGGTTGTTACATTCAAGAGAGAGAAAAAAAGTGCAGACTCTTACATTTGAAATCATCAACTTATAATGGATAAACAAGAATATATATAATAGTGCAGTGACCAAATGTTGTGCTCATAATGAAATTTCTATGAAGTCCCCTGCTGCAGTATACAATGAGTTTTGATCTTAATGGCTGTCCTAATTGTCCCTTTTTGAAAATTTATTTTCCTTTTTAAAAAAAATATGTTTGAAATCCTGGCAAATAATGAGGATAATAATGACAATGGCATGCTTTAAATTATATAATTTTTATTTTTATGGATATAGATTGCAATTGCTGAGCACCTGAAAATAATAAGACTTATATTGCCAGGACCAACACTGAATTGTATAAATTTCCAATCAAATCATGAGGTGTTGGCTTCAACCTACATTTACAAAAACAATAATGGCATGACCAAACTTACTCCACATAGGTCTCTCCTCACTATTTATGTTGACCATCTAAACCATCTATTATCACTATTTATATGTTGTAAACATATAAATTCACATGGCCCAATTCGTAAATTATCGAATTCAATTTATGTGAAAAAAGTGGAGGGTTTCATCTCACGTCATGATCACATCATAACATCATATAAATTGAATTTTAAATCATTATTCTTTTACATATTACTTCTGAGGTATGAAAACTTCCTTCAAATTAGAATTGAAAAAAAAAATCTGTATTCAATTCTCCCAAACATAGTATAAATATAATTTTGGTATTAATTCCATAACACTGAATTCTAGTTACCCTATTCTGCAATGCCTTAAATGGGTAACAAATAAAAATAATAGCATATTTACTACTGTATTTAAAAATTAATTGCCTTAATTAATAATCTCTACTCATGGGCATTTATGTGCCTCTAATTGCACTAATTAAAATCATTCACAATGAATTCAAGGATAAATACCCCAATGCCTCTAGTCTAGGAAAGTAGGTATGTTTCTCATCAAGGAAAGAAGGGCAAAAAAATAAAAATAAAAATAAAAAGATAAAATAAAATAAAAACCAATCACCACCTCTTATTCTGTTAAGCCTGATAAATCTAATTTTACTAGATAACCCTAACCAAAACCCAAACCCAACCAGAGCCTGTTATTACCCATTTGGTTTAACAGACTAGCTGGATAATTACTATCCCTACCAGAAAGGGAATTACCATTTCCCAATAAATAAATAAATGAATAATAATAAAAAAATTTACCCTCCAGCCCCTTCTTTGCTTTATCTCTCTCTATACACATACACATATGCTGTATATAATACACACACATGACACATCTGTAAAACCTTCCAGTTCCCTTCCCTACCAGGAAACAACCACCAACCTATTAAGATTTTCTCCTCCCTTATAAGAAATATATATATAGGGAGAGAATCGCCAAAAGTGTTGTTGAGTCTTCAATCCACCCATTACACAATTTAGGAATGCTTCTCTAACTTAAAAGGAACCAAAGGCATTGTGAGAGGCAAAACCCTAACCCCCAACTTTACATTCTCAGAATACATACATGTATAGAAGGTTAGGGTTTTGATCGCGTTTACCAAGATGACACAGTTGAAGCCAATACTCTCCCACGTCGACGACATCCCGTCGACGCCCGGAAAGTTCAAACCGGATAAATTCTCACCGTACACTCACCGTCTCCGGTTACACTCCTCCCTCCCAAAACTCACCCTCTGGACCTTTGTTTTTCTCGCGATAATTCTCTTGTTCTTCGTCCTATCGCCGGCGTCTCCGCCGCAGGCGACCGATGCTTCCGTCCAGAGTATCAAGAAAGCTTCGTGGGGCGGTTCGGTTTGGGAGAGGAAGGCCCGTAACTCGGCCCGTGTCCGCTCCCGAAACGGTCTCACCGTTCTCGTCACCGGCGCGTCGGGGTTCGTCGGCATGCACGTCTCCCTCGCGCTGAAGCGGCGTGGCTGTGGCGTTCTCGGCCTCGACAATTTCAACCATTACTATGACATTGGTCTCAAGCGGTCCCGCAGAGACGTCCTCGAACGGGCCGGCGTGTTCGTCGTCGACGGCGACATCAACGACGGCGATCTCCTGCGGAAGCTCTTCGATGTGGTGGCGTTCACCCACGTAATGCACCTCGCGGCACAGGCCGGAGTAAGGTATGCCATGGAGAACCCGAGCTCGTATGTTCATAGCAATATTGCTGGTTTTGTAAGCCTACTTGATGTGTGTAAGTCGGCGAATCCACAGCCGGCGATTGTCTGGGCTTCATCGAGTTCAGTATACGGACTCAATTCAAAGGTACCTTTTTCAGAGAAGGACCGGACAGATCAACCTGCGAGTCTGTATGCTGCAACTAAGAAGGCTGGTGAAGAGATTGCACATACATATAATCATATATATGGTCTTTCAATTACTGGATTGCGTTTTTTCACTGTTTATGGACCTTGGGGAAGGCCTGACATGGCGTATTTTTTCTTTACTAAGAATATTCTTAAAGGAAAGCCAATTACAATATTTGAATCTTCTGATAGTGGTAGTGTTGCAAGAGACTTTACCTATATTGATGATGTAGTGAAGGGTTGTTTGGCGGCATTAGACACGGCCAAGAAGAGTACCGGTAGTGGTGGGAAGAAGAAGGGCACAGCGGAATTGCGGATTTTCAATTTGGGGAATACCTCGCCGGTTCCTGTTAGCAGACTTGTAAGCATATTGGAGAAGCATTTGAAGATGAAAGCTAAACGGAGGGTGATGCCAATGCCGAGGAATGGGGATGTGAGGTTCACACATGCAAATATAAGCTTGGCAAATAAGGAGCTTGGGTACAAGCCCACCACTGATTTGGAAACAGGATTGAAGAAATTTGTTAAGTGGTACCTCAGTTACTATGATTCTAAGAAAAAGAGTAAGCAGTGAATTTCTAAAACAGTTCTTTAGTGAAACCTCTGAATTTAACTTCATTATGATTGCATCTAATTTTATTGCTCTAATGATCAATTCCCATTTTGGTTTCACTTCATACACACAATGTTGCCACGCAAGGAGGAATTGTGTCCAGTAATGGTAGTGTTGTGGGTTGCCCTGTGTTTTTGTGAGGGATTCTTGTTCTGTACGAAGTATCAACAAGAGTAGTGGAGGCCTCTTCATTGTTTTAGTGGATGTTAGTTTTTAAGGATCTTGCTTAGGTATTGTACATTCTATAACTATGGACTACAAACGTGTGGTTATGGTCTGGATTTTTATCATCTTGAGGTGATTTTAGCAAGATGGTAATTCCTGCCTTGGGCCTTCTGAATATCTTATTCAGATAAAGTCACATCTGAATTTGTGTATTTCGTTCTGATCGGTGTCAAAGGTTTGCTAAGTTTGCTTTCTTAAAGAACCATGCTTTACTTTTCAACACTAATGTTTTATGGCTGTCTATCTGTCTTGCATGTTAGAATAGCTCTAATATGAAAAACCTCATGTTGTTTCTTGTAAGCTAGAAATGCTTTTACCCTACGATTATTGTTGTTGAACCTTCATTTTCATTATATGATATTATTTATTCATAAAATCTATACTTCCACATTTTCAATAATAATGGTTTATTAGATGAATATGCTACAATGACTATGTATTGGCTAGAATTCATTCTGTTTCCATGCAGGGAAAAAGAAGTCTGGATGTCTGGTCAACTGATTTGTAGTAAGCATAACCCACATGTTGGGACAGCTTGATACAATTTAAGGCTTAAGGTGAAAAATGAGATCATTTTTATTTTTTATACATTAATGTACAAATAATTAACTCTATGTAATAGAATATTTTTATTTAAAATACCTCTCACCTTTTGAAATGCAAATGTACCAATTAGGGTTTTTCCTTTTCAAATTTAGCTAAAATATTATTATTATTTTTTATCCAGATTTTATGCGAATCCACTTAATATTCTTTTAAAATGGTCGTTCATAGGTAGCGTTTTAGAAACTAGTAAATGTTTGCTTTAGCTTCTTAATTAGAGATGTGAGGAATATATTTCTGTCGCTTTTGGACTGCTGGCAGCTTTGGTTTTGACATTCAGTCTGTTTCTTTAGCAAGTTGGGTAGAAAACTCAGATTTCATAAGGAACTGGTTAAGAGGCATTGATTGTAGAAGCTGTCATTGAGGGGGAATTTTTTTCACTCGGTACATTAACTGTTGAATTTGTCGTTGAGGGGGAATTTTTTTTCACTCGATGCATTAACTATTGAAGTTGTCATTGACTATTGAAGTTGTCATTGAGGGGGAATCATGACATTTTCATATGTAGCAGATGTTGTGTACGGTGTGCAAAGTCTTTTTCCTTCCTTCCTTCCTTCCTTCCTTCCTTTCTTTCTTTCTTTCTTCCTTCCTTCTTATTCTTTTCCTCTCTTCCTCTCTCAAGGCAAAGTCATACGTCTTGGCAGCATTTCTAATTGTACATCGACGTGAGAACTGGAATAAAGGAGGGGACTGTTTTAAGAGGGAGCACTGTTGGTTTCTTGTTGAAACATATCAGGAGGAACTTTTCTCTCGCATAGTTTTTTGGTTCTTTCAGACTGAATAGACTAGTTCCTTTGAACTTCTATGGCTCTATTAGGTAGTTTGTGCCCTTCTGTTGCATTTATTATGCCATTATGTGCCAAGCACTGCTTAGTTGGTCTACTCCCTGAAGGTCATTCATATGTCATTATACAAAAAGCCCAGACAGAGTCCTGGTAGATGATCCTTATCTGTAGGTGAAGTGATGGTGAAGAAATATAGACTCTCTTGTTGACTGTGAATTGATAATAGCATAAATGGTTTTATTGCCAAGTGAGAGTGTTCATGTATGGAAGGTAGTACAAGAAAGTGTAACTTGTAAAAGATGAGATGGCTATTTTTGTAGAAATTTTGAGGAATTTCCTTCGAAGGTAATGGAATGGAATGGTTATCAAATTCTCGATTTGGATAGTTCAATCTTTTGATCCAAAATACTGAATATATTAGGACTAATGTAATGGTGATCTTATGACCTCCAAATCACATGAAAAAAAATCCTGCCAGGTGGAATTCTTGTGGAATCATTATAAGACCTCCCAAGGCAAATTCTGATTTTAGCTATTCTACTATACATCTTTGTACAATTTGCGTTCCTTTTTCTATATTTTCGAGGGTTAGAGCTTGAGGCCCAAATAATATTATAATGTGATAACCAGGACCGAGAAGACAAATATCTCAAAGTTTATTTCCATTTTGATTCTGCAACAACTGTTTTAGCTTGTTACAGATTAATCAATTGCCTTGACAACTTAAACCATTCAATTCCTCATTTTGACTAGTATGAGGTTGACGAATATTTGCTGTTGACTTCAATCTCCCTCTCTATTTTTCTAAATTCAATAATTTTGTCTCAGATCCAATCAATTTCTCATCTGTATAAATGTTCATTTTTGTTTTTTTTTGCCTTCTATGTCAAAGTTCAGAGTCTTCCATAGCCAGCTGGTCCGAGAATGTCATATATAAATTTAATCCTTTCCATGCAGTGTATAATCATTGATAATGATGTTTCATAAACTTCCTTTTCATCTTAGGTTTTATGTCTTTTTAGTGTTGGGTAAATAAATTGTTTTTATATACTAATAAATTTTTTACTTGTATGAAGATTTGTGTGCTCTGAACTTCATGGGAGAGCTCTTAAAAGTTTATGCGCTTTAAATACTCATCTTAATTGCAAACATCTTTCAGGAGTATTAGGCTAATTCATGGCATATCTTTAAGATGCACAGATTTTATTAGGTTCAGACTTGCTCATTTGTTGGATTTACAATTCTTGACCTGATATTGAATTAGCATACAATCTCGATTTCATTAGCCTTTTTAATGGATATTAGAACTTTCTTTTCTTTGACCTTTTCTGGTGCTTAACAAAGCAATATGGTGGGAGCAACACATAAGTTGTTTGATATTTGCTCGATTTAAGTGAGTGGAAGAAGTAGTAGATGTTTCCCTACTTGAACCAAGTTACAAGACATTGAAGCTTGGATCTTTATGGTGGTTGAACTTGGATGAGTATTGTATGTTTTATGCTTTATTTGAAAGACTTTGAGGGAGAAGATTGTTAGAATATTATCATCTATCTCATAATAGGGAAAAGATTGTTAGAATATATGTTTGTGTGTGTGTGTGTGTGTGCGTGCGTGTGTGTGGCTTTTCTGTAGCTTTTAGTTATTTGGCGAACAAAGATGGTGATCAAACTTGGCAGCTACAATCCCATAGCATTGTTGACTGAGAATCAGAATTGAGGAATGCACATAGTTGGGTTAGTTAGGCCTTGATATGCTTATTAGCTGATTTGAAGATACTTGGAATTAGCATTTGTTGATAACATGTTTCTCCTGCATCACAATAAATCCTTGGTCGTGTCTGCATTATGAAGTTATAGAGAAGATCATAGGCATACCCTTTTGTTAACCAGAACTATAGAGGTCTTAAATTATTTTTGATGGTTTGAAATGAACCTATCTTGGTTGGGTTAACTGTGCGAAAGTGTTCTTTGTATTTGTTATAATTTAGCAGATTGTTTAAACATTGTCGTTTGTAGATGTTTTATGCAAGCAATTGTTGCAGAAATGGCTTTGGATACTCTATATGATTCCTCTTAATGTTGTACCCTCTAGAGATTGCTCTGGATATTCTCCAATGTTACTACAAATATTGGGCATGCCAAGAAATACAAGCACAAGCTCAGAATGACACTTTGTTTTGCATTTGGGAACACTGAGTAGATTTGAAATTGGAAGAAATTTAACGTCTATGCTTGTTAATGGAACATAAATGAAGAGGAGATAAAGGTGAGTTTTGAAAAATACAGCGCTTCTTTGGTTTAATTATTTAAAATCAGTTAGTTCCTGAGGTACATTTTTTTAATGGACTTTCAGAACACTAAACTAAATATGCTTATAATACCCCCCGGGTATTTACCTATTTGTTTCAACCTTACAAAAACTGATGATTATTATTCCTTGACCTGTTATATTGTAAACTCCTTTTTTATTATGATGTTGATTAGGTCACGTGATGACAATGGACAATAACTTATTGAAGGTCAAAAATTATATTATATTAGGATAAGTAGAAGAAAAAGGTTATATTAGGCTGACAGACATTGGCATTTCTTGTGGACCAAAGGTTGGTTTTTAGAAATACGAATTTTCAACCTTACATGGTCAACAAATGCCATTGGGTTGGGGGCTTAGGTCGGTTATATTAAAATTGCGGCCGGCTGTCAGTCGTTCATACTTAACGAGAATACGGGTTTTATGAGTTCTATCCTCTAAAAACACAAGTCATCGCAATTCTTATTCTAATGTTTGTACATAGTTTTCATATTAAAATATATCTACCATATGTTTTTATATATATATATATTCTCAGGATACAAAATGAACCTTGATCTCATTGCTTAGGAGAAAAATAAAAAATAAAAAAGCCACCTCGATCTCATCATTTATGTTGGCACTTTATTACTATGATACATTGAATTGAGACAAGTAAATATAAAAATCTTACATGATGTCACGGTGAGCTCATCAACATTTACAAATCACTCTATTTTGGTACTTATTTTTATTTTTATAATATATTATATAAACTAAGTCACATAAAGCAGAAACGGGAGATGGAGCGAATTCGAGAACAGGAGCACGAAAGCGGTAAAATTAAATCACAAATAGTGACAATAAGAGCGAAAGCGTGAGCGGTAAAATTAAATCACAAATAGTGACAATGAGAGCAAAAGCGTGTGCGAAGCGTAAAAGTAAGAACACACTCATAATGTGAAAACAACACCAGTTGAAGAGATATGACTTAAAGTATAACATATAAAGGTATGTTTGGTTCACTTTTTTTAAAAAAAATAATAATAATAAAAATAAAAAATTGTACAAAAATTTGGTTGATAATTTCTAAAATCCAGCTTCTGAAAACTAAATTAAAAAATAAATGAAATGGTGAGATGATAACAGAGTATTTTGGTGGAAAGGGTAGTGGGGTTGGGTCGGCCACGTATGGCATGACTCATGAGGTATAGCAATGGTGTGTTCAAATGGCACACCACAGTCCAATGACGTGGCCACCAAGCAAACCAATAATCCTTGATTTGATTTGATAAAGGATAAAAGAGTGGGTTGAAGTCAACCTAACAGTCGGCCCACAGTATTTCTCTCTATGTCCAGATACGTGCTGTCGTTGGATCGGACGGACGGCACTCACCTATTTCCATCTGGTCCCACGTTGTCCCCCTCAAATGAAAAACAACAAAAAGAGACATTACCAGAAAATCACCTAACACCATAATCCCAAATTAAAATGCTGGTGGGAAATGACTCTTTTATCTCAGTATTGCTTGCTCCAATACCAATGAAATGAAGTAAATATAACATCTTTGGACTGTTACAACATTCCATTAATGAGAAAGAGGCTTTTTTTAAAGGATAAGACATGGTGAATCAAAGAGAAAAAGTTTTTCTTCCTTCTTTTCCTCCACCTTTTCTCTTCTATCAACCAAAAGAAAAGCTTTCTATCCTTCTCTCTTTCCTTCGACTTTATCTTCTCCCCAAACATGCTATAGAAAGTATTTCCTGGTCTCAATGAGTAATTGAACGAAACCCCTGCTTTTAAGGAAAATCAGAGAACTAGATAAGGGAGAATTGGAACAAAATAGAAGACAACATAGTACGCCTTGAGGTAAGATTACTCTATTGTGACCATATGGTAGATTACGACGTCCTTTGCATTGATACGCAAAGGGAAGACTACCGTATCTTTTACAGCCTTGTACACTGGACTGACTATGAAGATGGTAAGGTAAAAAAAAGTAAATTCAAGATTTATTTTTGGTTGGTTCCATTCTTGTAATTTCCTCACACGACTTGGGTATTACATGAACTGATATAGGCGTGTTAGACAAACGAGTAGTTGAAAAAGGTTCCAAAACCATGTTTGATGAGTTAAGCATAAACAATACACACACCCATTGTAATCCCAATCAACACGTTGGATTTGCGCGGCTGCAATGTCAACCATCAGTGTGAAAACGACCTGTTTTTGGGTCTCTCTCTCTCTCTCTATCTGATTTAAAAGCCAATTTCAATACAACTTTCCACACCATCATTTACATTATGCAACAAAAGAAGAACTCACCTTGAAGAAGAACAAAAACAGAAGAACCAGGAACAACAAGAAGAGATGAAGCTAGTTTGGTCTCCAGAGAGAGCTTCCAAGGCTTATATCGACACCGTCAAATCAGTAAGCAACAGTCTAAAATCTCATATCCATTCTCATATTGGTGTTTTGTTTAGCTTTTCAATCTCTAATATTGATTTGTTTGATTTTGGATTACAGTGTGAACTTCACCAGATTTCTAGTGTAGCAGAGCTTATTTCAGCCATGGCTGCTGGGTGGAACGGGAATTTAATAGTTGAGACGTGGTCACGGGGTGGTGTTATCACAACTAGCATTGGACTTGCAGTTGCAAGCCATCACACCGGTGGAAGACATATATGCATAGTCCCAGATGAAGAGTCGAGGTCAGAGTACATTGAAGCCATGGAAAAGGCAGGCATGTCATCGGAAGTTATAGTTGGTGAGGCGGAGGAAGCCATGAGAGGATTAATAGGTATAGATTTCTTGGTGGTGGATTGCAGGCTCAATGACTTCTCGAGAATACTCAGGGTTGCAAAATTAGGCCACAGAGGTGCAGTTTTGGTGTGCAAGAACGCTAATTCAAAAACTGTTTCAAATTTTAGATGGCGTAGTGTTCTTGATGGCGGATCACGCCTTGTGCGTTCTGTGTTTCTACCTGTAGGGAAGGGACTGGATATCGCGCATGTGGCGACTAGTGGGGGAAGCTCAGGTTCAGTCAAGAGTGAAAGCCGATGGATCAAACACATCGATCCACAATCCGGAGAGGAGTATGTTATCCGGAGGTGAATTCTCCTGTTCCTGTTACTGAGAGATGGCTGATCAAATCATAAGGTTATTTATTCAACATGGAAGGCTCTTTACAGCATCATCACTAATAGATGTGATATACAATTCTTTCTTTTTTTTTGGGACGTAAATTAAACAAATTTCATTAAGTCGTTTGTTTTTCTGTTTTCATTTCTCTTTAGATGACTTCTAAGGATATGACTTGTACAGATAACCTCTCATGAAAATGAATCTGAAAAGCATGTGATTTTACTTAGTTGTTTAATGAGTTCAATCACTCATATTCACAAAAAGCAAGCAAAAAATACATAAATAAATAAATAAAGGAACAAAATAGAGCTCTCATGCACAAGAAAAATTCATTGCAATTGGATGGTGGTGAATCTTACATATGTGAAAAATATCAAGAGACTAAACCTTATGACCTTGGTAGGTCACTCACTACTGTCTCGGTTCTTCTGAAAGCTCTTTTTTTGCAATCCTTTATGCTCTACAACAGAGATCCTGTAGAAAATAAAAATGATTTTAGTAATGGTTGCTTTGGGATCCTCCACAATATATGGACATTGACAGGAATGTAAGATGCAAAACGAAAAAGATCTTACAGTTTGGGAATTTTTTTATTACTTGGTCTTATGAGGAAGTAGTGGGACATAGATATACAAAGCAGCATCAATGATTGTCTGTTTTATTTATTCCACAAAAGGAAAAAATATACTTACCAATATATATATCAAGAAAAAAATAAGCTCAATCAAAGCAACATAACCTGAACTACTTTCTCATTGAAAGATGACCAGAACAATGATGTGCCAGACAATACCAGATCTCATGCTTCAGGGTAGCTTTTACCATTTGAATCATATGGAAGCAGTGACTTATATTACCATTAATGAGGAGAAAATTTAGTAAACATGAATTGCTTTACAGTTTATACCAGTAGTTTTTTAATTGTACCGGTAGTTTCCACAAAACATCTTTACTGTGAAACCAAAAAAACATGATACTTCTATATAAGGGATATGTATCTATATCATATCAGTAACAGATATATTAATACTTCTTCGATACTCGCGGATTAGTGTCAAAAACTTCTAAAACATACTGACAAATTAAAAATATTTGTTTTGAACACGTATTACGGACATGATACTTCTCAAAGACCATGTATAGGATATTTCTCAATACTTCAGGACGCTTGTCTAACAGTTTTTGAACATCAAACATGTAGCATTTCTTAGCATAATATCATAGTATAATTGTAAGGAAAAGCATAATAAGAGTTCAAATATAGAGAATTTATTCAAAAAGACGAATTGAGATATGATGATAATTATCATTTCTAAAATAATATAATAATTATGTTTCCAGCAATACAGCTATCAGCTTATTTTCAAAATGAAGGATTTCAAAGGGAATGTTAGTAATAATATATAAAACATCACAAAATATTATTATTTTATATTTATACACGGATACATATATAATTTTTATTTTTAAAAATATTTACATTAATACAACATATATTCATATACTCCATAACGTTGTTGTACCTGTATTCTATCTTTCAAGAATTTGTTGAATCACTGTGCCATGTCTATATTCCTTTTATACAATCTACATCAATGATTTATAGCATGAAACCAATTGCCACAGAAACAATAGAGAAAATAGAGGAGTGGTTCGCAGAAGCCAACTTCTATATTCTAGTCTTAGTTAATCTGATAAATTGATAAAAACACAAAATAATGATCCACAATAAATATTTTCTATATTAGAGCCAATTATTTTTTAAAAAAAAATAAGCAAGAAATATAAATTTAGGGGGAAAAAAGATTAAAAAAAATATTTCTTCGCTTCAGCCTCAACATAGATAAAAAAATTTCTTGGCTTCAGCCTCGACATGGTACTGTATGAAAATTAAAACAATAAATTTAAAACTATAAGGCTTCTAGAATTAACTTGTCCTCATGAGATTAACTAAGCGTCAAATCCACCAAAATTGTCTCAAGAAACCATATCTATCCAAAGAAAATTTACTGTAAAAAGCAAATAAATAAATAAGTAAGAACACAGTACTTGATAACTAGCAGTTTGGATGAAATAGAGATAGAATTTACTAGATATTTGTTGAGATTTTGGCCTCAAGGCCAAATGCTTGTTGCAAAGCTCATTGAACATGTACTGGATGATAAACAGCAACCAACTAGAATGACATTGAACTCGGCCAAATGTTAAGTTTAAATCACAAAATATACTGCTTTACAACACTACTGGAGAATTAAAGTCTCTACTGGAGAATTCCTACAAATAACTAATGACACAATTGCATACCCAATAACAGCCAATAAACAAATTAAAGTAAAATAAAGAAAAGTAGACATCCATTTCCTTTTTTCCCTCACCTTCTTTTTCTTTGAATAGCAAGTCGTGGCATAAAATTAAGACTTTAATAGATAGATTAAGTACAGCTGTGGTAATGAACAGGTGGATATAAATTGAGACCCAAAAATTGTGCATCTCCTTTTATAATTACAACACAGACGAACACTTGCGACATTATAATTGAAGAAAAATAAGTTTTTTTCCCAAATCATCGTCCTAAGTACCCTAAAGCAGTAGCAAGAAGCAATCATAAATAACCCAATACAAAGTCCTAAAACTAACACAAAACCTTGTTCAATTCAAATGGAGCTCAGCCAATAATATAAATTTACACAAGCCCCAAAACTAGCTGCATAAGCTAGCAGCACTACCTATAGCTTCACAGAGCTAAGTTCACTACTCTTTCCCATCTTAAATAGTAAAAAAAGGTAAACCCAGTGCATAAGGGTTGCGCCATTGCAGGGACTGGAAAGGGTCAGATATACGCAGTCTCACCTCCGGATGCGTAATACATGTGACCTCCGTGTCACAATTGAGCAACCTTACCATTGCGCCAAGGCTCACCCTCGCCTATCTTAAATACTCACAGGATAAATTACACTGAAAGTAGTCTGAAACAAAAATTGAGACATGGTAAGGTAATTCAATTTCATGATTTAATCTCATCATGCACTCCTCAAATTCCCATTCTTATACAAAAGTAACGAGAACAAAACCATATTAATATTTCACAATCAGAACAAAGAGTGACATTTTTTGAATTAAAACAGAGCAACAAAACACAATGAAAGCATATTAATTTCAGACTACAATTGAAATAGTTGGGCAATGATGAGGTAAATGGCATTTTGCTTTCCTTTGATAATAGTAGTACAATCAAAAAGTCGACAGCTCCCTTTCCTGCAATACTGCACACACAAACACATGGTATGTCGGTTTTATCTTATCAATCATCATGCCACTGTTGACACCCATTTTAATAATTGGGTTTGGGCTTCAATTGGACTTGATGATCAATGATAAGTAATATGGGCCAAGAACATAAAGCCTGGTCAGTGATGATGTGCTAGGAGTTTGGGCTGAGAAGGATATCTGGGTCATGGAAGGTGATTGGATTGAAGGTGGTTTAGAATAGCATTTTAGTTGGAATAAAATCCATTAGTGCTATACATGAACAGTGATGTGGCAGTTCTCATACAAAATAACGCTATATGCAAGGATGCTACATGGATAGAATGTTCTTGAACTTTATGTTAGATAAGATTTATGTGTTTACTTGATTTTTGAATTAGTATTTATCTAGAAATGTTTAGTTTGAATTTATTTTTAGTTGGTTTATCGATAGGATTAGATTTTATTTGGAATTAGTATTTAGTTAGGATTAGTTTAATTTGAATAATTTTGTGGTTGTATTAGAATATAACTAAGATGTTTGTATTTAGGAATTTGTTTTACCATTTATTCTATAAATAAACAGAGAGGCACGCTGTATAAGAGGTTCAGCACCCTCAAAATCCTTATTATTATTTGTTTGCTTCTTCGAGCCTTTCTAAGAATAGCATCTTTGCTATTTCTTCTTCATCTCTATTTCTCAATCTCAATCTCTCAGTATCTCTCTCTTCTTCTCTCCTTATTCTTTCCTCTTCTTTTCTTGCTATATCCATTATCTTCCCCTTTCTATTCTCTTGTTACGTTACTATAATTTGTTCACAGAAAGTCCTTTTAACTAAGGCAATATTGAACTCATTTAGGAGTTTATTTGTTCTCTATCTCCTATAATCGCCTGAAGTTAACATTCCCTAAGAGACTAAAAGTTGACAATTTACAATTGAACCATATATTTGGTTCTGGCACGCCCGTTTTCCATCAATTTAAGATCGGCTCTAGCCAGCCGATTTTAGGGTTAACATTTTTGGCATGCCCGGTGGGACACCACTAGGTGAGTGATTTATAGTAAAAATATGCAGTCGACTTCTCAACTGACATACAAATATTTTGATCAGTTAAATCAGCCGATGTACCAGTATTATAATCAGCCATATAGTTGGATAGACGATTATCGGCATGTTCCAGCAACTGATTATCGGCATGTTCCAGAAGTCGCTGATTATCAGCATGTTCCAATAACTGATTATCGGCATATTCCAGAAGTCGCTGATTATCAACATGTTCCAGAAGTAGCCGATTATCGACATGTTTTAGCAGTCGATTATCGGCAAGTACAGATAGTCGATTATCGGCAGACGCCAACAGTCGCTGATTATCGACAAGTTTCAGCATCATAATATCGGCAAGTTTCAGCAACCGATTATCGGCAGACGTCAGCAACCGATTATCGACAAGTGGTAAATCAGCATGTCACCCCCGTATCACAAATTTTGGTACTCAGGGGGCAACCGATGGTCAATCAGCAAGAAAGTTGGACAGAATTTAAGCAGAGGATGAAAACACTAATGGCTCAAATACAATGCCTACCAGTTATACCGATTCCCTCTCAGGGAAAACAGCAAAAAATAAGGGAGATTGATCAGGAGATTAAAGAATTGATAGGTCAGCTTATCCAGGCCGAGGTAGCTCAAGGGGGTAAACGTGCTTAGCCTGTGTACAAGAAACCTTATCCTGACCAAGTGGTAAATCATCATGTCACCCCTGTATCACAACCTCTGTTACATGAGGGGCTGCCGATAACCAGTACCGAAATTGGCCAGTCCTGTCGACCTCGGCAGGAAATTTTATCAGAAAATCGGCAGCAAAGTTTGACAGAATATTATCAGTTACCGACTGCCGATTATCGGCAAGTTCCAGCAGCCGATTATCGGCAAGTTCCAGCAGCCGATTATCAGCAGGTGGTAAATCAGTCACAACAGATGACTTATCAACAACAAAGTTGGAAAAGCTATCGGCATGTTACTGATGAATGGAAGGGTACAAATCGGCTGAAAGCAAAGCGGCTTATGTACCAGAATTTTTTGCCGATTGTGACAGCTAATAATCGGCAAAAACAATCATCAGCTGAAAGAATCGTTTTAACTCGCTGTCCTAGGCCTAACTTCAAGAAAAGAAGAAAAAGACTAGCCGATGTTAATTTCAAAAGGGTACTTAGAGATTGGTTGAGAAAATCGGCTAAGGCAAAATCGGCTGAAAGAAGATCGGCTAAAAAACCAACGGTTGCCGGGGGGCATGTGATTGCAAAACCCCAACAAAAGTTAGTTGATCTACACGCTCCACTTCAGCATGCCGATTATAGTGAGGTCGTGCTTGCCGATCAATGGACTTTTGGGCATAATTCAGTCCTGTCGATTGAACTGAATGAATCGGCAAAAGTTATTTTACGACATATCTCGACTCATGCCGATTATAGTGAGGTCATGATTGCCGATAAAAGGACTTTTGGGTATGATATAGTCCTGCCGATAGAGCTAAATGCGAAATCGATAGAAAGGAAATCAGCTAAGAAAATTCAGTCCTAGCATAATGTCATAGAGATAATAGGCAGATCGGCTAGAATGACGCTTCACAATAATTTAATTCCTACCGATTATGATCATCATTTGCTAGCGGAGTTAGAAAATGCATGGGGGGCAAGTCCTTCTTGGGTTTAGCAATTAGTTATTTGATAGAGTTTGATGCAAGTAAAACACTTGCATATAGGAGTTTGTTTTATGTAGTTTTCTATAATTAATGCTATAGGCATACTACCCCAGCACCCTCAGAATCCTTATTTTTATTTGTTTGCTTCTTCAAGCCTTTCTAATAATAGCATCCTTACTATTTCTTCTTCATCTATGTTTCTCTATCTCAATCTCTCAGTGTCTCTCTCTTTCTCTCTCTCTCTCTCTCTTCTTCTCTCCTTATTCTTTACTCTTCTTTTCTTGCTATATCCATTATCTTCCCCTTTCTATTCTCTTGTTACGTTACTATAATTTGTTTACAGAAAGTCCTTTTAACTAAGGCAATATTGAACTCATTTAGGAATTTATTTGTTCTCTATCTCCTATAATCGTCTTACTATATCCATTATCTTCCCCTTTCTATTCTCTTGTTACGTTACTATAATTTGTTTACAGAAAGTCCTTTTAACTAAGGCAATATTGAACTCATTTAGGAATTTATTTGTTCTCTATCTCCTATAATCGTCTGAAGTCAACATTCCCTAAGAGACTAAAAGTTGACAATTCACAATTGAACCATATATTTGGTTCTGGCACGCCTGTTTTCCATCAATTTAAGATCGGCTCTAGCCAGCCGATTTTAGGGTCAACAGCCACTCTTGGAGTTATATATATATATATATATATATAATGCAGACCAGTTTGAAGTCAGTTACCCAGTCTGATTTTGGGACTGGGTTCGTCGCCAGAGGAAGAAGCTACGTCCGCTGCTTAGGCCAAGAATTTCTGAAGCGACAGCCGCTTCGACGCATTCTTTTTCCGTCGTCGGTGGAACTTGACGCGGGGGACCTGATACAGATATCAAGGTGGAGGGAAGGGAAAGGAAAAGAGGAGGGAATTTGTGTACTACCACAAGGGCAGAGAAAGAACTGAAGATGGAGACTGTTAGAGGTTTGTCCAGGGAAATGAAATTGTTATAAATTTGGCCGGACATCAATGGAATACGTTTTTGGAGGAGTTTTTTTATTTTTTTATAAAAAAATAAAAAGCAAAAGAAAAAAAAGGATAGGAAGAGGGAGTGGGTGTGCCGACTCTCGAAATACGGAGTAATATTTTGTTGTCCTAAATTTGGTGCGAGGATCACCGCATCTATGCCACTTTTAAATCTAATCTAATATTAACATTACATTTTTAGATTTGTCATCATCATCGTAAGAATTGATACTATAATATAAACACAAAATCCAGTAGACCAAATGTTATGTAACATGCCAAATTTGGTATTGAATTTTAACTTCATGTGGCTAGCGCCATTTAATACTGTGTAACCAACTAAATATCTTTGGATTTACAACCCACATCACGCTTGTTCAAGAATATGACACGCACAAAAATAAAATCCCACACAGTTAAAATAAGGCATTGTGAGTATATTTGAATTACACAAAGATCTATCTCTGGAAATGCAGTCCCAGACTTTTATTTGCGAATGAAAATAACAATAAGGCATTGAATATTATATTTAATACTTCTTATATTTAATGCATAAATCTTTTGATAATGCCCAATATAGTTAAAATTGCAGGGACCTATAGGTATATTATATATATGCTACTACCCATGGACTCAAACTAGCAATCCCACTATATACATTAGCAATCTAGCTAATAAGCTAACAACATAAAGATGTATAGCATACAGAAACTGTTGCTTTAAAACTATAGAGTATGGATTCTGGGTAAAGGCTGTGGGAAGTCTCAGAGAGGGGGTGCCAAAAGACGAGCTCATCGATGCCTCCTAAACTGGTCCATGTTAACACCATTCGCAGCTCTTATTCTTGCTGAAGAAGAGCCTGTTCTATCTCCTATATCTTTCATTTTCTCGGAAAGCTTTTGATCGAGATGAACCTGCTGTTTCTCCAACATCCTGTTTCATGCCCTCCAAGTGCTGAGCGTGCTGTGTTGAAGGAAGAGCCCATCCATCCCTGCTCGCCAGCCCATTCTGCCCACTGCTGCTGGAAACTGTTTACACAAAATAACAGTCTAAGATCTAAATATTCCAACAATTATTACTACTAAGGGCCCAAACATTAAACAACCGCATCAAATTGCAATATCTGACCAGGAAACTAATTGCAGCTGTAAGCAACACCAAACAAACATTTTCACTTGCTTGTTTTAAAATATGCAGTTCTGGGGTGCTATTTGTTTCGCTTTAGAACCATGCGTACAAATGAAACCATATTATAAAAATGGTTACAGTAACTTGATGCAGATTTAGTGTAGTCAAATTCACGCATGCAGTAAAACTAATGTCAGATATATTGCTAAAGATGCCAAGCACATTAGACATATTGACATTGTTGAATTAGTAGTGCCGCATTGGAAAACCTTCTAGAACATCTGATCACATGCTCGGCTGCTGCCTGCTGTATGCCATCATACCATAAAGTGTGCAATCATCAAGATAAAAACATTTCTCAAACATGGGGTTATTATGGGAATCATTAACTCATGGTAACATCACAAGAAAACTAATTCCGTGTAAGAGGCACAGCCATGTGTCACCTAAAAATCTTGGGACATACTTGCACCAAAAGAAAATATCAAGTGAAAAAAAAAAAACATACAAGAAAAATTCAACTGAAGAATGTTAGAATTCATAAGGAACGTCACAGGATGAACACGAACACATCAATATAAAGGAAAAAACACAATTTGTGCCTGATAACCTTTTAAAGATACATAACTTGAATTACAAACGCACACAAACAAAAAAGGATGAGTTTGGTGCAGCCAAAGGGGTCACCATACCTTCATGTACATTGAATCGCTCCGACCAACCAGGTAGGTGCTTTCCAGCATTCCCTTTCCAAGATTCTTCAAAACCAGCTAACTCATCTGATTGTTTTGTTTTTTTAAAAATAATAATAATAATAATAAAAGGAAAAAAAACATTTGGTTAACCACTCTCTCCAACATCTTTCTGTCTACAGACTTTACATGCATTAACAAGATAAACATAAAAAATACCTTCATTAAGATTGTGCAAAGTCTGCATTGTGTCCACCCTACCATCTGAATTAAGATTCCTTGAAACGGAATGTCCCTACAGCATCACAAAACAACTTTATTCTCATACTTTAAGAATAACTGACGACTTTCCCATGTCTGAAAAATATTCAACCCAGATATAGGCGTGGCATAATTAATGAACTTAAAAGACAAATTTAACAGCGGTCGAGAGATAACATCAAATAGGTACCTTATCATAAATTCCCCTAGAGATCCTATGAGCTGCTTGACCAGTAGCCGTATCAGCTTCTTTACTTTCATCAATCATCAACTGGAAATCCAAAAACCACTCCATAAGAAACATAGGAGACAAACAAATTTGATTTGTAAAGCAGTTAAGCTTACAGTACTTACACCATCACTTCCTGTCCTCGTAGTTCTAGATGAGGTATAATATGCTCCATTTGCTCCACCACAATTAACAGTGGAGCTCTGAAACGTGAAACTATGGTTTCGGGGCTCTATCTGTGCATTGTTCAACGTGTTGAAGTTATTTCTGTAATGCATTTGCTTACTCTTTCTCTCTGCAACAATAATTAAAAAAAATAAAAAAATCCATATAACAATAATAAGCAGGAAAAAAAACAAATGCATCATTAATTTAAGTTTAGGAATCACATTTTACCTTCAGCTACATCATCTGGATCCTCAACATAAGGTACTTTGCTCAACCTACCATGCTTTCTAGGAATATCTTTCTTCTCCTTCTTACCTTCTTCCTCTCTTTCATCATCAGAGTTCAATTCTTCAATGATTGGTCCCCTATACATATTGGTCTGCGGGACTTGATGTTCAAGAAATCCAGATGCTTGTGGATTTGCAAAAGGATGTAATCCAGATGCATGTGGATTTGCAAAAGGATGTGGATTTACAAAAGGGTGTGGATTTACAAAAGGGTGTGGATTTGCAAAAGGATGTGGATTTACAAAAGGGTGTGGATTTGCAAAAGGATGTGGATTTGCAAAAGGACTACCAAAAGGACTACCAGTAGGACCAAAGATGCTTGACTCAAACATGCTTCCAAATGGGCCCCTGAAAAAAGGATTTGCAAAAGGACTACCAGTAGGACCAAAGATGCTTGACTCAAACATGCTTCCAAATGGGCCCGTGAAAGAAGGATCATCAAATGGGTCCCTTCCTCCAAAAGAATTAGACAATAAACTCCTGTGGCCACCAAAGCCCGCAAAAGGATCACCAAGGTCAAAGAAAGGATCTTGGCGTCCTCTGTTTCCCTGCATTTTCAAAATTCTATATACCTGAAATCACAACCAAGATACAAAAAGCTTTAAGAGATCTGTGTATTCAAAATTACAAGTTACAGAAAGAACATGTACTAGAACTAAACAAATGTCAAAGTAGTGATAACAGAAAACAACCAAACACACCATTAATCACCAAAACCCAGCAAATATAATCTTGTGCAACTACTAGCACAATTTCACAATTAAACCAGCTCATAAATGAGAATGACCAAAGCTGGCACAGAGATTTTAAAAAATAATAACATCCCCCTCAGAAATTTCTGAATTATCATAACACTAATTGTCATTGTTGGGAATAGATAATAGAGAATAACCTCAACAAGACCTCACCAGTATAAAGCTATAGCACACAAAACACTCAAACAACTATACTAATTACTTTATTGTAAATAAGGATACATCAGTGGTGAGGGAGAAAAAACAAAAAAATGGAACACGCTTGTAGTTTTTCCCATATTTTACAATGTTGATGATAAGAAATAGTATTGCTGTATAACCCAGAAAATGAATTTCAGAAACTCCTTGTACTTGCAGTAATGCCCAAGGGGCACTTGGGGGTAAGGATCCCCTCTTATAGTAGTAAGTAGGGAGTGTAGCCCTGTCTATGGCTATTTTTATGTATCCTGATGGTCTCTCAAAATATACCCTCAATGGAGAGGTGGCTTAGGATCTTCAAACTATCATTTTAAGGCTTTATGGATACCTTTAGGGACTTCTCAAAGACAAGGATAATGTGGATAAGGTTGCTAAGTATACTCTATAGACTACAATACCTATATTGGCTACCATAACTCTACCCCTCTCCTCCAGTCCCCTCCTGGGCAAGGGCAACACGCTCTTACTCACCTCCGGGGGGATTTCTAAGTGGTGAAGGCTCTAAATCAAGTTTTAAGGGCTTTTAGTGGCCTCTCAAACAGGATTTAGAGTAGCTTACCCCAAGCCAGTTCGAAGAAGAGACTCCAAGAGAATCTCTCCTTCCCAACCGAACCTAAGCCTAACAACCCAACAGATTAGTGAACACACGCATATACATATCCATATGGCCTCAAACTATATAGGCATGTTAGCACTGGAAAAAAATTATAGGATGGTCTAAGCAGTTATTGACATGAGAATTTCTTAACAAATTTTCAGATAGATAGCTGGGTTGGATAAAAAAAAATTATCAAAAATCTGCTCATTTAATAATTGTACACTGGAATTCACTTTTTCGATATTTTGAAAATACAATAAACACAATAACTTAGAAAAAAGAAGAATCCAAACAAAAAAATAAAGACAACATGTTGAAATTCAATATTCTGAAAATACAATCACAATAATTTACTCAAAAAAAAAAAAAAAATTACATAATGTATTTTTTTTTTTGGAAAGACAACGTATTGAAATTCCAAAATAAATAAACAGCAAATTACATGAAAAATTAATTTACCAGAAATGCTTCAAAACAGACAAAAAATTATGATTGCCAATCTTAAATCTTCAAAAAACACCGGTGCAGAAATCTACACAAGATTTTGTTCTTCCTCAAAAGAATAAGTGTCAAGTTGCTCAAGTCGCATCAAGACCAACTGCTCAATGCATCCTACTTGTTCAACAAGCTTCCTATACAATTTTTATTAACTTAAAGGGTTTAAATAATTGCACAGATCAACCTTTAGCACAAGAAACCTGTCAAAATTATGAAATAAATGACAGTTCAAAAAGCTTGCTGAACTAAAATGGCATTTCTTTTTATCAACTGACAATACCTTACCAGGACTCACTAGAGTGATTTAAGAATGTTCAACAAAAGACCATAACCAGTTTGTTCAATTACTGGGAGATTCATGGGGATATTTATCAACTGACAATACCTTACCAGGACTCACTAGAGTAATTTAAGAATGTTCAACAAAAGACCATAACCAGTTTGTTCAATTACTGGGAGATTCGTGGGGATATAAAAACATATGATTTTTATAATCACAGTTTGCACATTATTCTGGATGCTAGAAAATACTAACCTCAATTAAGCCAACTAGTTGCTATAAAATAAAAATAAAAAATCTAAGCTCAACTAAGAAACTAATTGCATAAAACTATGGATATCATGGTTACAAAGGATCCAAATTAATAACCATAAATTTATTAAGGTAAATAATAATTTTTTAAGGGGTAAAGTTGACTCCACAATTGCATGACTAAATACCCAAAACATCGAAACCAAATAAGAACAACTCAATAACCGCCACTAGGAACTACTGGCGGTTATTGAGTAGTTTGAGAAATCTTGATACAACGGGTTTTGGTACTTGGTTTGAATTTTTGTGGTATTTAGCCATGCTCTCATTGAGCGAAAGGTACATTGATCTCAACTTCAGGGCATGACAATCTAGCTATAGGAAAACCAGACATGGAAAACTGCCCCTCCCCCTTTCTCTTTTCCCCCAACTCTCTGGTATTTAAGAATATTAGTCTTAGGAACTACAACCCTTAATGTCAGAGCAGAAAGCTAATGCAATGCACTTGTAGTTTTTCTCAAACCCAAGAAAGACAAGCAAGTAGACAAACACAAAGGGAAATTTACACCGACATCAAAATGATAAAATCAATTATAAATTTATGACTTGTTTTTCGTGCTATGTGTTGTGTCAAATTTTTAATTTCAAAAATTATCTTAACTTTTTCTTTCTTTTGTTCTTTAAATTCCTTAAATCTCTTTAAAAAAAAAGTCAAATTTCCCTTTTTGAATCATACTTTTATTTTTTTCTTTCAAATATATCTCAATTTTCTTTCCTTTTTTCTTCTTAAAATTCTTCTTTTTGCCTGTTATATCAATGTTAGTTGAATTTTTTATTTTTTTTTTAAATTGTGCCCCCTCTAAATTAAAATCCTGGCTCCGCCCCTGGGTAGAGATAGTTTACAAATTAGTAGACTGGAAAGAACACCAATGGAAAGAGAGAGTCCCATGGGGTACACAGGTTTGTGTACATGTGCAATACCCCTATATTTTAAAGGTTTATTTTATTTAAATTGTTTACATTAATTGAATTTATTTCAATATTTTTTTTATTTGATTTAAATTGATTAATTTTTTTGATTATGGTTATTTGTTGGTTTAATTGTCAAATTAAATTGTTATGGTTGGTTAATTTAAATGATTTATGTAAATTTTTTTGTACATGTGTGCTTAATTACTTAATGTAAGTTTAATTATTTAATTGCTATGTTAATTTAATTGTTTGTCTATTTTAATTTAGTATGGATTGGGCTTAAAATTAGTACAACCCAAAGTAACGAGTTTGGGCTAGTTGAAGGAGGCCTAGGTGTGTTGAGAAGGATTTGGGCCATGGGGAATATGTTAGTTATATATATATAGAGAGAGAGAGAGATTCTTATGATATATATATTATTTTATTTAAATTAAATTATCATATATTGCATGATATATATATTATTTAATTATTATTTTATTTAAATTAAATTATCATATATGTCATGATATATATATGTTTGCATATTTGTACGTGTATATATATATATATTAGGAGTATTATTATTATTATTATTATGTTAGTTGGGTTTGGGTTAAGATTTGTGGGTAACTTATATATATGTTTAATAGTTAGAGAAGAGAGTTTTTTTGGTTTCTACATGAGTTTTGAGAGAAGAAGAAAAGGGGCTTGGCACAAGGAGAGAGAGAGAGAAAGAAGAAGGTGACTAGAATCATTACCGGAGTTGAGGAAGACGACCAGAGAAGTTGTAATTGATTTTCGATCCGAAAATCAAAGAGGCAAGTTCTATGTTCTACTCCTCCCCTTAGTTCTTATAAATTAAACACCTTATGTTTGACTTTAGGATTTAAGTTAGAGAAAATTGAACATGATTACATGCTTTAATTTGATATATAAATTTCAGACGATCTAAGATAAAATTTTGTCCAAACGGACAGAATTCTGAACAACAGTTTGATAAGTCCGATTTCGAACAGATCATAGTGTTTTTTGGGTGGAAACGATCGATTGAGAAAAACTCACTAGCTTTAGCTTGTGGCCCATGTCAGTTTATGGCCGACCATCCTTTAGGGTTCCGAAATCGCATTTTAAATTGTTAGTAGGCATCGCAGTGTTTTTGTGATTTTTGTTAAAGGCTGAAATAAAGTCCGATTGTCCTCATATTTTAAATTTGGTTGTTTTTGTTGATTATGTTTCTTATTCTATTTTTCCAGAATTTTTAGAGAAACTTTATTTTTAGGCTTATTTTCGGAATTGCATTCATCGCACTAAAACTCGATAAATTTTAAATGATGAGTTAAATATAGAGTGTATGTTTGATAAATAATATTAATCATATTGAAAATATACTGGGTATTGTATTAGAAGATAATAATCATAATTGAAATATATGGTGTAATGTGAGAAACGCTATTAAGTGTAATTATTCATTCTCCTTGATAACTGATACTTATAATATCATTGTTATTATTGGATATTTTGAAAAATGATATTGATCATATTATAAATTATGTTAATCATAATGTGATTTATTGTAATTTAAGTTATTAATTATATTATAAATGATATATATATCATAATTGGATTTAATGGGATTTATGATATTAACCATGTTACTTATGATGATTAATCCATAATGAGATTGTAGTTGTGTTTGTGATACTCATTATATTGGTGTGTTATGGGATATTGTAATAGATGATGATAATCATGCCTTTCTATATATTCTTAAATGATGATTATTATATATACACAAGGATGAGCTTACTTAATTTATAAGTTGTAATTGATAATAATCATTCATATATGAGTTGTGTGCACTATGGAGAACATGTAGGTTAGCTAATAAGCATAAACTTGCTTTTATAATCTGGTTTGGTTGTGTTGTATTTAGTGTCAATATTAGATATGGCTATGATGAGAATAATGTGTATCTGACATGATCATTGAGATAGCTAATAAGCTAGACTCCTTAATCTTTTATGCCATTGTCAGGATATGGCTTGGTTATATTGATAAGTATAGGTGGACTGACTAATAAGTTAGATCCATTCTATTTTATGCCATTGTCAGGATATAGCTGTGTGATGTGTGTATATGTGGGTGAGCTGGCTAATAAGTTTAGACTCACTCCATGTTGTGCCATTATCAAGATATGGCTACAATATCTTATATGTTGTCATGCCATTGTCAGGATATAGTTACAGTAGTTTATATGTTGGTGTGCCATTGTCAGGATATGTCTAGATATATATTTATGTGTGCCCTGATATTAGCTTGAGGTCTCGGGATTATGACTAAGGCGTATATTGCCGGTTCTAATGGGCAGCTGGATATATGAGATGTATGCGCCTTGGTAGGAGGAGGACTCATGACCACCTTGTGTTCGATTTTTTATTATATACCCACTACACGGTTAAGACTGCTCTATAGTCCAGTGAGAGTCTTTAGTGTGTATATATATATATCTACCGACTATGTAGTTATTGCATGAGTTTGGCTAGGGATGTATCGTTTATCGGTTCTCTGATCGGGTTGTAGTAGAAAGAACTTGTTTGTGGGTCTCAGGTCCACGTCAATTCCAGACTTGTTCGTTCGTGCTAATTAGATAGCATCCATATTCACTCTTCCGGATTGTTAGGACATTACCTTAGATTTCATTTAATATTTAGATTTTATTAGTATTTCAGTTTTATGATTTATTTAGGGGTCCAATATCAATGGATTCCCGAATTGTACTTGGGAGAGAATTTTTATTTATGGTTATTTATGGAGATTCATTATCATGGGATTATTTCTCGAAGATTATTATCAGAGGAGTTTAATTGTTTCTTATTTAGTTTTCCTTTCAGCGTATATAAATTTAATTTTATTTCATTTTGTATTCTATGCTTGTTTAAAAATATTAATTGTTTGATATCCCCCGGTCTTCGGGTGCGGACCTGATCAACCCGTCTTCGGAAATTGGGGGGTATCACAACATAGTCTAGTGTTGAGTATTTTGTACTGTTGTAATATCTCTACAGAACCATAGTGAAATTTCTTCTCATTCGTGGACGTAAGCCAAGTTTGGCCAAACCACGTAAATCTTGTGTTTTGTGTGTGACAACAGTGTTTGGTCATCATGGTCAAAAAATCATGATAGATTACATGGCATGAAGCTCAAGCAGCCAAGGTGGAGCCTTAGATATTTTGACTGATCGAACAACCCTCATCAATGCCGTGGGAATCGATGATTGGCTTGATGAAATTTGAGCCAAGGTAGAGATTGTTATGTATTATGTCTCAAATTCCTAGTTTAATTAGGTTTCTATTTTAAAGTTGTATTTTGTTAGGACTTCTTGTTAGGCAAGTCGTGGGCTCCACGAAATTTTAATCCTTGCCCAACAAGGAATTGGGTTTTGGACTCTAATCTCTATAAATAAACACTTAGGTTATGGGTTAAGTCTAGAGATAGAGAGTGATGTAGCTCTAATTCTATAGTGGAGGGTGGTAGCCTTATGAAGGAATTGATGGGTAAAGGTAGTTTACAGGTTAGTAGAGTGGAGAGAACACCAATAATAGCTAGAGGGAGTTTCGTGGAGTACACAGGTTTGTGTATATGATTTGGTGTCACATATTCTCTATTATTGTAATATCTCTACGGAATCATAATGAAATATCTTCTCATCCATGGACATAGGCCGAGTTGGGCCAAACCACGTAAATCTTGTGTTTTGTGTGTGACTGCTTTATTTGCTTTTGTTGGATCTCTATATTTGTTCATGCGCTTCCGTTGTGCCAACATTTCATCCACTAATTGCTACTATCTTCCATGCAGCTAGATATTAGGTATTAGGTTGTAAACAATAGCATCAATTTTTTGGTAAGTTGTAGACAATAGCAGCATTAAGCTCATTGTCCAATACCATTCAACAACATAAAATAAAAAATCAAAAGTAACTTCTAAAAATCGAGCTATGAATGCATATGTATGACCATGAAAATGAAAATCCAACATTAACCTTAATAATCAACTCTACAAAATATTTTCCCAACTATTTAGTGTCGGTTACTATTTCGCTACGTTCTATACCAAAGGCCATGCATCAACGAAACGCATGCTATCAATGTGTTTCCTTACTATCTCAACCCATGGTAGTTTCGGTCCTTCACTTGTGCTAGGATCATCTCAATGTGGAACACGTCACTGATACTGAATGCTTAAATCACATGAAAGAGAAGAATCATCATTTACCATTCTGATGTGCTCTTTTGTTGTGAAATTCTAACTAGTGTATTATAGTAATTATATAGTCCTATCACCAATGTAAGTTGTATTAAGTTGGGTTTGTAATTTAGAATAGCAGTCGGCAACTAGCTAAATGGTTTAATGGCTAAGACATGTTCTGTTGGTTATTCGTTGAGTCAGTGCAACTGTTTGGTGTCGGTTATTTAGTTATCAATCCTTGAAAAACTGAAGTGAGTCCAATGAGAAAGCAGGTATGCTGGAGATTGGGTTTAATTCCACCTACAACCATATAGATAAATTTCAATAGCACATTGCCTGTCACAAAAATTATCACCAAGGTATTTTGCACCGTATCAAACTAGGGAAAGAATCGGACCAGTTGCTTATAGAATTCAGCTTCCAGCCAACTCCAAGATACACCCCGTAATATTTCTCAACTTAAGAAAAAATTGGGAAAATATGCGCAGCATTGTCATAATTTACCAAATGTGACAAACCAGCATTTATGCTTCCAAGGCAGATCATCATTCGTCATATGGTTAATGAAAGAACAAGCATACTGCAATGGAGGTTGTCGTACACTCGAAAAGGCCAGCTCGAGAAAATGCCATACGGATGCCATAAAAGAGATTCATTGAGCTTTATCTTGACTTCATCCTTGAGGATAAGGACAATAGCAGGAGGGAGGAATGAATATGATGTGTTCTTTTGTTGTGTAATCCTATCTAGCGTGTATTATTGTAATAATAGAATTCTATCTGAGTTGTATTAAGTTGGGTTTGTGCTTGTGAATAGGAGTCATCAATTAAGTAAGTGGTTTAGTAAGGCATGTTTTGTTGGTTACTAGTGTAGTCTGTGTCACTGTTTGGTGTTGGTTATTGTAATTTATCAATCCTTGTATAAACTGAGGTGAATGCATAAAAAACCCTAAAGAGGAACATACACAAATTCCCATTCCTTATATCGTTTTTCATCCAATCAAGGAAACCCTAAGTCAATTTTTTAACCAAAAACACAATATAGATAATAATCTAGACAAAGGAATCACAATCAAAAGCATAAAATAAAATAAAAATTAAAAAAAAAAAAAAAACGCTTCTCATAATGAAATCTGAACGCAGACCTTGCAATAAAAATTAAAGCTTTAAAACTAACATCATAGTAGTAGAATTCTATTCGATCACCAAATTATACATTCAAGAGAAAGAGAAATTACCTTCGTGAAAGAGAATGGGATTGCAGATGACGTAAAACCCTAATTGCCTCGGCGATTAATATAATTGATGCGTATATTTACCGGACTAACTACGTATAGGGGGAGACTAAAAGTTTTGTACGCGCCACGTCACTGGCGGTGGCCGACTACACGTGTCATCTAATCGATCCTATGGAAAAATTACAGGCCAGTGAGGGACATAAAAGTAAAATCGAACTTCTACAAAAAAAACAAAACACTGCTACAAATTTAATACTATAGAGTACAGACACAACACGTGGATACAGTGACACCGATAGACACACCATGTGGATAAGTGATATGATAAATGCTCCGTATTTAAAAAGAAAATGATTAAAATTTTGAAACTTTGAAGGAAAAATTATCGATTACTCCTACTTTTAAACGTCAAAATAAATAAATCTTATGAAAACCTTCAAAAGACAAGGAAGATTAATTTTTAAGGTTTTTTTTTTTATTTAAATAAGTTCACATTCTATAAATAATAAACTTTATTTTTAGTATTGCCTCTTTATTACTAAAATGCGGCATGGAATTGAAGTTTTGAAATTAAAATGGGTGAAATTGAAAAAAAAAAAAGTTGGTTCAATTTTTTAAGTTACTTTTCTCCAATTATATGCCAATTCCAATTCAAAAACTCCAATTTCATACCTGTCAAATATAGTCTTTTTAAAAATACAACAAAATACTTTTCATACATTACATTTATAATATTAAATGAATTATTTTCATTATTTCTACTTCATATTTCTTTAAAAATAAAAATCTCTAGAATAAAAAAGAAATCTATATAAATTTGGGACGATGTTCTCTAAACAATTTATTAAATTATCTTAATATACATGAATTTAAAATAAATCTTTTTTCTTAAATTATATATATTTAATTCAATTTTTTAGCAAAATTCTCTGGAGAAAAATAGTAGTTAAACAATACATGAAATATAAAAAGTGTAAAAGAGGAATTCACCTTATTTTATTGGTCTCTAGAGTCTAGAAAATTGTAACAAAACCAAATTTTGTTCTGTTTTATATTTTTCAATTTTTTTAAAAAAAATAACAAATAGACTCCACTCCTATGAATGTCTTTTTGAGCATTTTCATGACAAGGAGACAAGGCATTGAAATGTAGTGAATTTTGATTTTCAGATAAAATACCCCAACTCTATTATTATTTCATAATTTTGTCCAGAAAAACTGCATGGCTCATGATAGATATATAAATGTGAAATTGTAGCACTCAAAGCTACCTGTAGGTGCAAAATTTCGCTCAACCAATAATAATTGAGAAAAATAAAACAATTCACTCAAAGAAACAATAAAAATAAATAAGAACAGTGTATAGAGAAACGCAAATTGCTTGATCCTTTATTGGAGGTCTTAACCTCTATTTAGATACAAAAGATTGCAAGATTATGGTAGGACTCGCGTTGCTTGCCCTCTAATTCTTTCTATATAACCATTCTTTTTTAATAGGGTTTTTTCCATTGTCGAATTTTCCATACATAGAACTTGCCTTGTACAGAACTTTCTATAGAATTTTCCTTCTATAGTAAATCATTCATATGGTAGGACTTGTGCATTCTTGGGCCGAATATATTTTGATCCGACTGGGCTTGAGTAACAGGCCGGATGTTAAATACTCATAAGCTTGAGTAACAGGCCGGATGTTAAATACTCATAAGCTGGGCTGATGACTTCTTGATTCGGCCTTGATGGAAGTTGGAGGACAAATAACAATGGTCTTGGACTATAAATACCTTCAACTTGGACTTGAGCATGATGAACTTTATATGTTCTTGGAATGTTGATATGGATAGTGGTGACGCGTGCGCTTTTTATTGGAGGGCGTTTTTTCCCTCCCCACTACCAAATTAAAAGCAAGAAAGGTACACCTACAAATCACCAAGAAAAGATGTCACGGTGATGGCTAAAAACAATCTGAAACATTAGACATTTTTCAATGACCTTACCAACTTTTTGTCTTGATTTTGAATGGAATTTAGTCCAAATTTCACATTTAACAAATGCAACAACTAACTGAGACTTGCCATTTTCCAACCAACCCCCCTCCACCTTTTAATTTCCTATCAGACAAAAAAAGCTATAAATCTAATCCGTCAAGAAATTCTATCTTTGGAAAGTCCCTTGTCATTAGACCACTAATTACGGAGTTGATTATTTGGACTTCTCCAAAAACAAAATTCAAACAATAATTCAAAAAACAATTAATCTCGCCTCTCTCTCATTGAATTTAAGTCCTTCAGTGGGCTGACCATGGCCTACTTGGGCTTGCCCAACTTGATGGTGTTCATGGCTAATCAGTTTCCTTCCACAATCTATGATCTTCTGGTTTTTATGATTATATTATTACCAATCTTTGCTTTAATGACAATTGCATTACACACTAATCACGTCATTACATTATCTAATACTACTATAATATTAGTTTATGACTTTTTGCATTAGTTTATACATGTTTTTTTGTGGAAAATAGTCATTTCAATGTTTTTAAATTCTTATTTGTTAGCTCATGAGTCGCTTTAAGGTATGCTTATGGTGTTTTAGACCATAATGATGCAATCTGAATTTTTGGGTGTGCATCATTTACACAAGTGGGAGAGTTCTCTCTCTCTCTATATATATATGTCTGTTCATGTATATGTATATAGTTATAGAGATTAAAATAATCAAAATGATTAAAGTGATGTTTAATTAATAGTATGACATCTAAATCAACTTGCTTTTCCTTTGAGGGTAATTAATTAAGGAGGCTTCTGTTTGTAGTCATTAACAACAATTTTGAAAATGGTATTACTTATCGATTAATGTAATATAACAGTGACTGGTACCCTGTGAACCATAGAAATTTGATGACCAGAATACTCCTACTAAATTTGAAGCAAACTTAATTCTAGTTCTAAAATCTCCCCATTTACCAAAATTTGGTCAAAGCGAGGCATCCCCCGATCGTTTATACACGTAGTATGTATCTTGGTATAAAATGTTTTCTATATTTGTATATATATTAAAGGTCATTATATATTTTGTAAAATAATACAAAATGTAATTTCATAAGTATGAGAATTGATTTGAATACTAAAAAGTGTATATAATCCAAATTTTAATATTTTTCGATTATATACCCTTCAAGAATTGATTTGAATATCCCTTTTATCTGAACATTTATCTAAGTAAATAACAAAATAAAAGTGATCAATGTGAAGCGGACTAATATATGATAAGAATTCAGTATTCTTTATGAATATTGTAGGTTTATTCTTAATTATGCATATTTCTAACTATTTTTATTCTATATTAAGGGATTTTGGTAATTGTCATTCATAATAAATATCACATTTGAAAATGATAAGTAATCGAGGACTCTCACACTAGCCAGACTATTTCATGTGAGTAGGGGATGACATCATGACGATGTTATCAATCATAATGACATCTTCAATCATAACAGTGTTATCATGCACTCACAAAAATTACAGTTAAATATATCCCACTTTCGAACTCTGAATCATAACTCTTCAATGTATGAAAAATGATTATGAATCCTAGAATTCGCAAATTGAATTCAACGATTGATAAAATTTAATGGAAATAATTTGTTTTCATAGCACTAATTCGAGCACGAAGCATAAAAAGGACACCCTTTCAAAAAAAAAAAATTATGTGACTTATTAGTGTTGTATCACACCTTCCTCTGTGTGAGATTCAAACTGCTCACTTTCCCATGCTCACCAGTGATCAGGGGCAGAGCCAAGATGCCCCCTGGCCCATACTGGCCATTAGATTTTAGAGTATTATATTTAGGCATATAATATATAAAATATTACATAGTGCCCCCCTAATTTTATCTTTCTTTTTTCTTTTTCTTTTTATCTTTTTTTTTTTCACTCTTCTTCTTCAATGTGGTGGCCCCCAGAAGCTGACTCTGTCCCTGCCCGTGATTAACCATCAACAACTATTGCTGGTCAAATCTTATATGGGACTCAATTGCCATTCCCAGGCAAAAATTGCTACTCTGGATTGCAATTCAAAGTAAACTCCCTACCTTAGACAGTAAGGTCATGACAAAAATTCAACCAAAGCTATGCCTCCTCTGCTCGGTCACGTAGGAATCCCACTCCGACCTCTTCTTTGGATGTGAATTCGTCAAGCTACTGTGAAGCTTCATCCAAGACAAATGCAGATTTTACGCAAGAAGTGGGAATTGGACCCAATTTTAATTTGGGCAAGTCACCAATGGGTTAGTGGAAGCCCTAGAATCTAACTCTGTGCACTTAACTCTCTTAGTGATGGTTTATACCATAAGGTAAGAAATGAACTATAGGCGATGAAGGACCCAAAGGATTGTATAAAAGAAGGTGACTTTGAACGACAATAATGCATGATGGGGTATCATTAAAACTGAGAATCCAACTGCTATGGATTGGACTAGAATCTAACTCCGTGCACTTAACTTTTTTTATATGAATTGGACCATAGTTGTCGTTATGATCATGAACTCACAACTGCTACAGTAGTAATATATAGTTGTGATCAATTCAATCACACAGACCTAACTTTGCAAGCAATGTCACTCTTATCTCCCTAGCTTCTACTATACTACTATAGCTACGTATATCATACATTCTTTTTTAAAATAAAATAAAATAATAAAATAAAATCTGAGTAAATAATATATTGTTTGCATCAAAATTCATCATTGTGGCATGTTTTGGATTCGAGAACTTCTACGTGGCAAATCAGGATTTCATTTGATCAAATAATGGAGATTGCAAGAACTCGTACGTGGTTGGCCATGAATCAATTCAAAATTTGGGAGATTTTGAGTGTACATGAGACAGTGACCTGCATGTACATTATACAAACACATTTACAAGTGAACAATCGCATCACTTACCTTTCCTTATGGGGAAAGTATACGTAGTTCATAAAATGCATGTATATCAACTATTCTGATAGAAAACAAATTAATGAATTATATGGGAAGAAAACTAGCTAATAACATTATCAGATCGATCATGTAGTGCCTTCCAAGTCATTTGGTACTTCTCAATTTATATTCAACATCTGTCATTATGAAAATTCTACGCTAGCTTGCTTTTTAATTCATTTGGCAAATTCTCAACCTCAGCCTTAAATTAAACTGGCTAATTGTTGTATATATAATATATCAATCGTATGAAGCAAATTGAGGAATGGACAATATTAACTTTGAATGAATATTTTTAGACTTATTGATCATGATTATCAATACTTCCATTTGATTACCATCAAATATTATTCGATCTAAAATTCAAAATGGTTAAGAACCTGTATGTTTCAGTTTCTAGAAATAAAGTGTTTGCTTGGTTTGTAATTCGAAAATAATTCTCAAGAATTTACAGAATAAAAAACTATTTTCAGATAACTATAAAAGACATATTTTCGAAAATATTTTTTTTTTATAATTGAATTTTTAGAAAACTGAATCAAGCAAAGTTTTTTTTTTTTTTTTTAAAAACAGAAAGCTGTCTTAGAGTTACAAACCAAACATACCTTAATTGTTTTCAAAAATTGTCAACTAAACAGATTTTTGTATATTTTTCTGATTTTTAATTTTCAGACAATGACTTTTGATTTTCTTGCATACACCTAGTTAAGCTCAAAATCATGAAAAACAAAAAAACAAACGCTTGCTTCTTAAAACCATTTGGCAAATTCTCCACATCAACCTTAAATTGAACTATTGCATATATAATCAATCGTATGAGAAATGGACAATATTAACTTGAATGAATATGTTCTTTATCATGATTATCAATTACTTTCATTTTATTATGATCAAATATTATTCTTAAATTAAAAAAAGGCTAAGTATCTATTTGTTAATTAAGTTTTCTAAATACAATTTCAAGAATTCAAAAATATAAAAAACTATTTTCAAATAACTATAAACGCATTTTTTTTATAAAAAAAATGAGTTTTCAAAAAAAAAAAAATTTGAAACTGTCAACTAAATAATTTTTTATATAAATAATTTTTTTTTATTTTATTTTTAGTTATCAGAAAACGACCCTAATGTTTTGATTCTTGCATAAACCTAATTAAGATAAACAAAATGTACTAGTTGAGACCTTACCCCAAAGAAAAATGGGCTAGTTAGAGGGAAAAGGGTCCACATTGAACAATACATACCTAAACCTAGAGATGCAAGTCAAAGACCAAGTTTTTGGATTATTACCTGCCCCCATCTAGAAAATGTTAATTAGATAATATAATGTAATGCAATACAGTTTGTGTTCACATAAAATTAATTATAATGATCATTTGAAAAGGAAGGAGAGAATTAACATTGACCTAAGAGCTTTCCTCTGCATGACACGTACGTGTTACCGTGTGTACCTTTGTTGATGCTGCGAAGTCGCATTCTAAATCAAAAGCGTTTGACGAAGCTTGTACTTTTGTCTGGCTTTCTCATCCGTCTTATTTAAGGCTTAACAAAGACAAAATCAATGGTCAGGAATTAGTATTAACCAGTTGGGTCACCCTTGAAATGTGATCACCAATGGAACAGTCTAGAATTAAGCACATATGGGCGGCTCCAAAATTGATGCTACGTCTTACTTTTAACAATGAAAATACGAGTCCGTGTCAAATATACTAAACCCTAACAATGAGTATGTTTCTCTAAGAAATGGACGAATTAATGCGTGTGAGAGTGGAGGAGATTAAATTATTGAGCTAATCCTAGTATAGCAACAAACTCTAATCCAAAAGTTTTGTACATTATGTGTTGGATAATTTTTTAACATTAGTTTGAATGGTATAACTTCTTTTTATATATAAAAAAAAAAGGGGTGAGAAAGTTTTGAGTCACGGAAGAAGTACATGTCACAAGTGCACGTTTGGTTGATCGGGAAAAAATAATATTATTTAGAGCTAAAATCATAAAACTCCTCATTTTATTACTTTAAAAATTATGAACTAATCCCCTCAACTAAGAAACTGTCATATTATCTCTTAATGTTTTAAAAAGTTTATCATATCACCCCCTCCTCGTTGCATCATTCTGAAAGTTGTTTGATAATTGAGGGGGTTATATGAGGTTCTTGGAAACAAGAAGGGTTTATAATTTTAGCCCTATTATATATGAGATCAATGGTGAAAAATGGAGAAGAGTGAAAAGGATCTTGATTGGTAGATCGCATGGCAAGTTTTTTTTTTTTTTTTTTAGCACGAGGAACTTACCTAGGCAAGGCCCCTTCGGGACCCACCCTAGGTTACAAACCTAAGGGTGCAGAGTCTCACCCCAAGGATGCACCGGGTAAGTCGACAAAAATTGAAAGATTTGGTAGGAGTCGAACACTGGCCAATTGGATGCTAGTCCCGTACCCTTACCATCACTGCCAAGCCTCCGAAGCTAGCGCATGGCAAGTTGTTATTTGTTAACGGCTGCCTTTTGATGGGAAGCAACTCGTGGAAATAAACTAGTCCATATGTGATTTTCCCGCATGCCAAACATAACCATCCTCGTGTGAAGATTATGTTCAATTACAAATCTTTTGAAATGCAAACTGACCTGTGCCCATTCTATAAATTTACTTATATTCTAATTGGAACATCTTAATTGATTGATAAGAATACAGATGAAAAGTGTTGGCTCGTATTAGGTGTATGTATGTATATATGTGTGTGTGTATATATATATATATTAACACACACACTACAGATAACTTGAAAAGTATGCAAGTTTAGCACTTGCTATACGGATGTTTTTTCATTTTATACCATATTTTGCATTTAACCATGAAATTTCATTAAAATGTTTCCCTGTTTTTAGTCGCAGCATCCATAAATTAACCAAATAAAGTTACAGAGGACAAAATATTCATTTTTTTAAGAAAAAAATGGTAATAAAGGACAAGAAAGCTAGTTTTTCTTGACAAGTATATTATTTGATCATCAATCACACAACTCAAAATCATTATCAATTAGACTAAACCACCAATATTCCTCCTAGGAATGTCAAACGAGGTGCAATGTTAATTGATGACAATGAAGATATTACTATACAACTTGCCAATGCCACATTATTTTTGTTTCATTTAAAGCTAATTAATTATCAACGGGCCAGTGATTTAACGGTATCAACTTCTCACGTTCCAAAAGGAGGTAAGGGGTTCAAGTCTCAGAAGAGACATGTATGTGTATGAATACTAACTAGGAAAATAAATAAATAAATAAATAATAAAAAAACTAATTAATTAGCCTCAGATCAAAATGACTCTTATGGTTTAGGCAAATCAGCTCCATATGAACCACTAATTAACACGGGATCATGTAATTAGTAGGCTACAAATAGAGGACAAGTTGAGTGTTTGAACTCGATAAGGATAATATTGTAAGTGTGTGCATGTCTGCTCGAACTTTCGCGAAAGAATAAAAATAAAAATTGTGGCAGTATAATACCGGCAGGTATACGTGTTGATGACGAAATGGGTGATGGAATGGTTGAGTAAGAGTGCAATGAGGGAGTGGATTGTGTAGGAAAATGGGAAGAAAGTATTTGGGTGTGCATAGATGTAGCTTTTGTCGTTGGATCAACCTATGATTCACCATCACCACCTTGTGTAAGCTGATAACACCCGGACACAAGAGGGGATTGTAGTTCACGTGTACCTTTCACAAACCAATGTGTGGGCCCTAGAATCACCACTCTCTCTCACCATATATATATTCGCAATGGGGGAGAGAAAGGTGAAAGGACTTTATATAAAGTTTGGTGGGCATATATAAAGTTTGGTGTGAGGGCTTTTTGAGTCTTTACTACAAAATTTGTTTCAAACTATAGTTTGGTGAGAGACTATCTAGCTACCTAAGCTTGTGTTGTGTTAGTGACATGGGTAGACAACCCTGCTGTGACAAGCTCGGGGTGAAGAAAGGGCCGTGGACGGCCGAGGAGGACAAGAAACTCATCAGTTTCATCCTCACTAATGGCCAATGTTGCTGGCGCGCCGTCCCCAAGCTGGCCGGACTTCGTCGCTGTGGCAAGAGCTGCCGCCTTCGCTGGACTAACTATCTTCGCCCAGACTTGAAGCGAGGCCTCCTTAGCGAAGCCGAGGAACAACTTGTTATTGACCTCCATGCTCGTCTTGGCAACAGGTTAGTTGAGAAAAAGGCTTCTTCTTGTTATTCGTGTGGTGCATGTTTAGTGCACGCATTCTTCACAATACTTGTTATTAGTTTTTTTCTATCGAATGATTTTCCTTTTTTTTTTTTATGTCTAGCACTAGCTTGTATATATCAAATACATGTGTTTGATATATATATATATATATATATTCAAAAATGTTTAGGAAAGATAGAGGACGGATTGTAATGAAGTTGGTGAAATGATAGCGTGGGTTCAAATAATGCACAAGAACATACTTCGTCTTTAACCAGCTAAAGGTTTTATAATATGATTGTCATGATAAATTTATTTAAGTAACACTCTATTAATTACTAGTTTCTTGTTTAGCTCATCAATGGGACTAATAGAATATTGAATCCAAAGGGTGCACTAATGTTTTGTCAAAATAATTAGTTCAGCAACTTGTTGGCTTCAGATTCAATTGTTTGAATTTTGCTTCAACCAACCCTAATTTAAAAAGAAATGGTGTACGTATTAAAGTAATGAGATTAGAATAATATTTCTTGTGCTAATGGGTTTTAGATTTTGTTGTCTGGGTAGCTTGATATATGATTAAAGTACTAATGAAGTTTCTTTTTCTTGTTTGTGATGATTAGGTGGTCCAAAATTGCAGCAAGATTACCAGGAAGGACTGACAATGAGATTAAAAATCACTGGAACACTCATATCAAGAAAAAGCTTCTCAAGATGGGAATTGATCCTGTCACTCATGAACCGCTCCAGAAAGAAGCCAAGGCAACTGAAACATCCTCTCATGCAGATGATTGTTTGCCGGAATCCGGTAACCATAGCTCGCAATTACCGGAAGCTAATGGCACCGCCAGCTCGGAAAACTCTGGCTCACCAACTGAAAATTGTTCCGGCGACGAGTCCCATTTGTTTGATAACACTGTTTGTGACAATGACCCATTAATGAGTTGTTTGTGGGGTGAAGAAACTTCCCTAGTTGATGGGCCGTGGGAGATTCCGACCACCGGACAGAACTTCGACAATACCAGCTTGCCATCCTGGGATGAAAATTGTTCGTGGCTACTGGATTGTGAGGATTTCGGTATTCATGATTTCGGGTTGGATTGTTTCAATGACTTCGAAGTGAACACGTTAAACACCTTAGAGATGGGCAACAAGCAATAATCTGTACCATGATGGGACTTAAAAAAAAAAAAAAATGTTACAGCTTCACTAGTAGTGACCATGTTACAAAGTATAATGTCTGGCTAAAGTTAGATATTACTTGTTTTATTACAGAATATTCATGGAGGGTTGAAATGAAACCTCAATTCTTTAAGAGGTTTCTCACCAACCAAACAAGTTAAAGTACAACACCAAACCCAAAATCTTTGAAGTTGAGGGTTGTTTAGAAATGTTGTACTCTGTTACTTTTAGGCGCATTGGACATCATCAAAAGATGTAAGATGGAGAATGGGCCTTGTGAATATTAGAACTTTTGTATATATATGTATTTATATATGTTGAAAAATCAATAAAAGAAAAGTCATTTTGTTGTGGTTCTATATATATATATATATATATATATAAACATTATAATCTTGAGTTTCATTTGCTTCATAGGCTGAGTAGGCTTACAATTAAAGCATTTTTTTCTATGATCTTTTTTTTTTTTTTTTCTTTCCTAAATGCATTTTTTTCAATGAATTTTTCGATGATCTTTAATTCAACTGTTGTACTCTATCTTCTGTTGTTAAGCCAGAATTAATTAAGATCAATGAAGTAAATAATAGCTCTGTGGAATCATGACTCAACCAGACTTTTTTTAGGGTTTATTGACAATGAAGCAGATGAAAAATGGTTGCCGGAGTTAAAAGAGTAATGATAGGCTGATATGGGGTCCAGGTCTAGGTTTTTTTCTTTTTTTTTTTTGATGACCCAGGTCTAGTTGATGCATCATGCGATCTCTGATGAAGCATCTTTGAAAAATGTACTCCTAGAAATAGACAATGGGATGATGTCAACCAGTCGCAATGTAGTGTATGGATGACATACTAAAAATTGATGCTCTTTTAGATCACACTTGAAATGTTTATATACACCAGGACTATATCAAAACTTGTTGGAATTTTTTTATGGAAGCACTACTATTGTTTTTGGTATTTTATTTCGTCACAATTTCTTTCCATTTTTAATTAAAAAAAAAAAAAGTATCCATTGCCTCAAAGTTTCTATAGTATTCTTTTAAGAAGTACACACTATGTTCAACACAAAGATACGCAAGTCATGATCAAGCGCGTGTCCGACACGACTACAAGTTTCAAAAAGTTCGAATGTTCTTTTTGAATGATTAGAGACGTTGGAACATAGCGTTAAGATAATGGAGGCATATGGCCACTTATAAGATATAATGAAAAAAATTTGTAATTATCTTTTAAAAAGAGGTTCTAATGCAATTTTAAAACATATTGTGGGCGAATAGAAATATAATTATAAAGCTGTAGAAAAGAAAACACCGCCCATCCAACTTCAAGCTCCTAATTAACCCACATGGGTGGCCTAGCTGAGACAAACTATAAACTCGGATGTTCGACTCTCACAATGCAAAAACACCTTGTTTTAAATGATATGTATTGTTTGAGGGTGATTGCACGTATTTAAAGTTTAACAAGTTCACTAGATTAGAGATGAGCTGGGTAACCCAATTGATAGAAGCACTCCCTGAGTTGTATGGGAGCCCAAGTTCTACTCGCCCCATCCTCCCTCTCCTTACCAAGTTAAAAAAATAAAAAACAATATTAGAAGGATTTTCCCAAAAATAATAAATGATTGCATATATTCGAGGTTTACCAAGGTCACCTGACTGGAAGAAGGTGTGGTGGTGTTGCTCGAGTGATAAAAGGGCCAGGCCAAAAGTGCCCCCACCCTACCGATCCCCCCTCCCCCAACTAACTACTAACCATTGCCAGGACCCCAAAAAAAAAAAAAAAATGATTGCACATATCAGAGATTCACCAAAGTCACTTGATTGGAAGGGTTTTCCCTAAAATAGAAAAATAAAAAATCAAGCTCTAGAATTTAGGGGGAAAAAAAAAAAATCAAGCTCTAGATTAGTGATTACATTCATGTGAATAACAAGTGGCTTCCTTAATCATCTAGGCTTATTTATTAATGCCCTCCACATTAGTTAACTCATACTTTAAGTACAAAAATAAACATCCTTGAAGTATCAGATAAAGCCCTAATCCACTGGCACTATTACTTACTTAATGGCATTGTGGGGGGAGACATAATAAGCCATGTTCAAGTGGGTAAAGTAAGAGATAATATTCCAAGAATCATGGGCATTATCCTCTGAATTTCTTATCAGTGTTCCTCAAAACACACTATGGGAGTGACACACTTGTGGCTTCCTTATAAATTAAGCAGGTGATAGAATAAGACCTGAGCACACACTCCATTCAAGTTTCTTCTATCATCAATAGCAAGATCTTCAGGAAAAAAAAGTACACTCTCACTAAGCCTTCTAACACTAAAATAATATCACTTTTTGAGTACTGACTTCAATCATGACATCTAGATATAATCTAAATATGCCATTATCATCACTTCTTAGTGGTGATAATTATAAAATTCATTTGAAAAACCAAAAAGCAACTGGTGTCCATTTGAGACATTTTAATGAAGTACTAGGCATCCAAGAAAATCCCACATTGACAACTTCAAGTACCTACAAATACTTTTGGAAGCAACAATTAATGGAATTTATATTCCCTTTTATTGGATGCCTAGTACTTCATTAAAATGTTCTACAAGCTAATGACACCATAAAAGTAAACCACACAACCATCAATATTAATTTTTTTCAAGGAAAAAAAAAATCAAGTAGCACAAAAATTAACTAAAAGTTTAGGGCACCCATGAATGCCTTAATTTGATTAGATACAGTGAGACATAAGAAAACATAATGCATATACCTGTCTTGTAGGGTAAGTTTTATGGAAGCTAAGTAATGGTATCATCCACTATGAAACCATTCTGCACAGACATTCATATGAATAATGACTTTCATTGCCATAAACAAAAAACAAAAGGGTTGCAGAACATAATGGTCCCTCTCCCTAGAGTTGAGAGGATCAGAAGGGAAGTGTGGAAAAGGAGGGGAGATGAAAAGACCCTACACCAAGATTCTCAATATCTCAAAGCACTTGGTGGCCTGACATTGCCCTAGAAAAAGATTGATTGGTGAGTGGAATTTTGTATCATTTGATACTTGTGGTTTCGAATTCAATTGGACGATATTTATAAAAAATAAAAATAAAAATTGACATTCTAGTTGTGCTTCACCTTTCAATCATAATTCTTCAAAAACATCAAAACCCATTTTCATATCACACCAGAAAATAAAAATAAGAATAATAATTTGCACATTTTCATCGTATGGATACAATATAAAGGTCCAACTCTCTGGGCTCCACAGAAGAGGAGGGTGTATATCATGTGTAGAACAAATAATGTTCACTTTGTAGTGCTTTAAGGAAAAGGCTATACCAACTTCTACCAGATCTACTAGTTCCTACCAAACACAATCATACAAAGAAAAAGAAAGAACTGGGAGTGCAAGCACAAAGAACAAAAGAACTATTAGGTTGAAGATGAATGGATGCACACAATGAAGAATCTCTAGACTTTGGGTCATTAATTTACCTGGAATTCCTGGTTTCTTCATGGATATATTGCTAGAACTTGTAAACCTGAGATAATTATTTTTTTCATTCTTAAAAATAATACAACAAAATAAAGAGATTAACTTCCAGGGAAAAAGAAAGAGAAAAGGAAAGCAACAGCTTATTTATAAATGTCATAATCAATGATGATCCTCATGCATCAAGCTCTAATACAAGTTGTAATGCCGTAAAAGGAGGGTCAAATTAAGATCCAATCACAAATAATGATGAATAATTAACAATCAAATAAAGAAAATAATATTTATGAATTCTTGCCTACGTCAGCGAGAGATCATCTCTATAACTGTAGAAAAATATAGAGGGTAGAGAACATATAATACCTAAAATTAGCAAACAAACTTGAGCTTTGAAAATCTTGTTTTCATGCTCTTTAGAATTTCTTCCATCTTCATGCACGGATCTTTCAATAAACTTTTGTAATACCTTTTCAAAACCAAGTTCTGTATTGGACAAAAATATATAAGTTTTATATCTCTATAAGATAGCTCCAAACAGATAACCTGTGCATATAATATACATATGTGTGCGTGTCTATATGAGAAAATCAAATTAAATAATGAATTTAAGATAAAGCTCCTCCACTTTTTCTCAAACTCCATCAAGCCAATTAGGGGTTTTCCTAGGATTGTCGATTTATATGGTTCTCTATAGATTAACACCTCACAGTTTTGTCATAATCATGATCAATTGAGAATTCAGGCCACCTGGTCCACTCCACCTACAAATGAAATCCAATCCCAACAATTGAGAATCCTTTTCACATGTTCTAGACCTCACAATGGCTTGTGCAGATCAAACCAAACTCTCAAACAAAATCTTTGGTTCTAATACCAATTGTTGATGAAGTATTGAAATGCAAAAACCCTCCAAGTTTTGTGTCTTATTGTGTAACGAAGTAAAAAACAATGAAGAGAAACAATGACCAAGAACCAAGGTTTTGTGTGGTTTTCCATATGCCTCCATCCACTTGCAACCAACAAGAGAATGATTCATTTAAACTTAAAAATTACAAAATTCATGAACTAAACCATCCATGAGATACGCAATGAAAACCTACAAACATTCCTTATGTAGAATTCACTCAAAATCCCAAACCTATTGCCATACCATAACCCTATTTTACCATCATTGACCTTTCACTTCCATGATCGCGTGTCAGGTCACTAATGTGGGAGCTTGAACCAAGCTCAAAAACTCTTGCTGCGTGACGAGCTGCGCTCAAACAGACTCTTAATCTGTTTGGCTTGACTCATGTGCAGCACTAGTTGTAAGATTTGCCTGACATGGTCATCGTGGAGTCAGATTAGTTTCATGGTCCAATAGGATGTCCTTTCTTCTGCAAGTCCCAGTGTCCAATAGGATGTGGATGTCATTACCAGATGTGCCCAGCTGATTTCTTGTGTTAATCAACTCTCAAACTTCTGAGTAATAACAAGATCAGCAAATCAAATGGACCTTTAGCTGGCCTCTTGAGCTTTCGAATACAGTCTTCCTCCCAACTTAGCTTAATTGTCTCGTCTAAAGATTTGTTTTTTCATGCTCAGCTGATTTTTCTGTTTTTTTTTTTTCCTGATTTCCTTCCTTCAGGAGTGGATTAGCATGTATATGTTTTTCTTTTTCTTCTATTCTTTCTTGCTATGTCCTAGAAATTAATTACTTAAATAATTAAAAAAAAAAAAACGAAAAAATATATAGTGACTTTAACATAAAAATTAACTCTGTTCACAAGCAGGAATTCTTCTTTAAAAGTGGCATAGTAAGGTATAACAAATGAAAATGGATGGATACATCGGCTAAAGTTAAACCGGGAATAGGCCAACTTATTGAAAGATTATAAATGAATGAACTCTCACCCAACATACTCACACAAATCTGCCTAAGAACAGGTTATTTGGGAGGTCTACAGGGTTACAGATTGAAATTGCCACACTAATTTTGATTGACCTGTAAATTATGAGTAATTATTTCTGATGCACACTTGAATAAAATGATCCTAATGCCAATAGATAATTTTGAGTAGTCTTACCTCATGTATTTCTGGTTGCTTTGTATGGCACATGTATGCCAGACTAGAAGGCTCAACTTGATAGTTTCATATTAATCAAATCTTTCATGTAATCAGCAACAATATCTACTCTTTCAGCAATCATCAGCCATATGAAAGTCCAATTTGTCAAGTTTGTTTGCATTATGTGGGATCTCTATGCCTCAACTACTCTAGAGGCTTTGCATTTTCTTAAAGCTAAGTTGAATGATCATATAAGGGAGCAAGTCATAGTGAAGAAGATGCTCCATGAGGAACCTTTGTAAATGCACATTAAAAAGAAAGAACTTTGTAAGACGGCTTTGCATTGGTCTAATCATTCGGAGTAGAGAAGAAAGACCACTTAAAGAAATGGAACTTGGTAAGATTTCCAAAATCAGTGCCTAAGGGCTATCAAGGGTAAGTTCCTTCCTCTGTGATACATTAGTGTCTATAATACGTCTGAAATCACGCAGTCAGGCCTCTAATGGCCAGTTGCAGGAAATCATTTTTGTTGAAATTGTTTCAAAGATCTAAATGCGAAAATTACATCTTTATTTTATTTTTATTTTTTTCCAGACAGAGAGAGGAGTAATTCTTCTAAAGGATGTTATAAGTGACGGCTTGGGCACTATAGTACTAACATAACCAAGACAAGCAGAACGTCAGCTGTTGGCACATCATGAAGCTGCAATAAAATTTAAGTCATATCTGGACATCAGAAATAGAATAATTTTCCTTCTAATGGAGCAGTTATGGCAAAATTTTATCAACTTAGAACAGAAATATTACAGAAGCAAACTCATGAACAACAGATAAAAGCTGGAAAAAAAAAATGTCTGTTGATGAAATCATCCCCTTATGTAACAGTAATATACACCTACCAAATTCTCAGACAGCAAGAATAATTTTCATATGCAATGTGGAACTTGATTAAATGGGTTCAATCAAGGATAGACATAATGAAGGTTGACATAAACTGGTGAAGTTACATAAATTTTATTTAGTAAAGTATTGGATACAGCACTACTCAAGCCAATGTGATACTCATACTAGATTACAGGAAACAAGCAAACAAGAAAACCTCCGTGTGCTAATTCCTTTACATACTACTGAAATTATTCCAAAAGTTTACCGAAGATGGAAAAATACCCTAATAAAGCATCATAGAAGCGCAGAACAGTAGTAAGCTTGATGTTCCCATGGATGCAACCTTGGCCCCATTGCTTGGAGGTGCTGAAAAAGATTCATCCCATCATTACAAAGAGAAGTGACCGATTGACCTTTCCAAATGTAAATGCTATGCTTAATTTGTAAGGTTTGAAGCTAATACAGAAAGGCTCTAACATTGTAGCCAATTCGTATGGCCTTCTAAATTAACAATAGGGGAGATTTTCCTCTCCATGAGGTCCATATCATATGCGCTAATTAATTATCAGCGACATTAACCTTGTAATAAATTATTATGAATTACCAAAAAAAAAAAAACTATTAAACTATTACTCTTTTTTCCAATAAGGCTCCTAGACTTTTTTTCATCCTGCAAAAAACCCTCTGCAAACTGGACTGAATTATTGACATACAGTCCCCTGAACTATCAAGATTCGTTGCAATCAGACCCCTGTCGTCGATCCTCCAGCAATTCAACAGAAATAGTCACAAGGCCTTTGATATTTCTTTATGACAAAAATGGCTCTTGGGAATTTCTGCAATTTTGGCTTTTTAAATTTTAAATTCAACATACAAGGACTATTTTTAGTTTCATGTTTTTCTGCAGCTCTTCATACTTTCTGGGGTTTTTCAGAATGCCAAGTAGTTATTTAACACTAATAGTTCAACAGTTCTTTTTTCTTTTTCAATTTAGTCAACAAATAATCATAAATTGGCGGTAAGTGCTTCAAAAAGGAAGAAGTGGTGATACAAACAGGAACACAAAAGTAATTACCTGGCACAGTCGAAGTTGTAGCAGTAGCTGGAAAAGAAAATGTAATTAAAAAAAAAAATCACTAATTAGTTGATGTATACACCTCCTAGAAAGAAAAGCAGGACATCATATGACTAGAAAACTTGGCTAGTATAAATGACATTATAATTACATAAGAATGAGGCCACAGAGACCCAAATTGTAGTCAAATTGAACTGTAACGACCCACTTCACCGCATCATGAACTCTCCAAATTCAAGTTTCCAATTAAGTTGAAAACAACCTTTCCACGAGGAGTTACTGCTGCGTACATCTAACCCTCCCCCGACGCTGCAATAGTAGGAGCCTCGTGCACAGGCTAGCCCTTTATAATGCATAATAAGTTGTTCTAAACGACTCATCTAACTCACTTGAACTACCCCAGTGTTTACCATTTTCTGTTACATTATTTACATTGTCCTGTTTGGATTTCAAGCTGAGTGGACACTCTCTAACTCAAAATTCCACAGAATTGAAGGAAATATCTTAGCAAATATACACTGAGTTATGAAAAGTGAAAAGAGAATCGGTGAAATTAAAAGGGAAAGAAAGTTATTACCTGGTACAGACGAGGAAGTGGGAGGAGTCGTAGCTGCAGAAGAAAAATAATTTTTTAAAAAAGAATAATTAAATAATGCAAAGAAAAACAATAACAAAACAACCAATAAGTTCTGAGTCAACTCACTGAGTTCCCTCAAGCTTTGATAACAAACACAAAAGAGTGCACACTCATATGAGATTCAAACACAGCAATTCATTAGTAAATTGTGCAAGACAAACACAGAACACACCTTTGGTGCAGGCGCTTGTATTTCCGGGGACATTACAGTGGCCAGGAAGAAGAAGAGCCTGAGTGACATTAATGCCGAGAGAGGCTAACAAGCCAGGGGTATTATAGAGATTGCACAGGCATTCTCTATCTTGTGTCACTGCTTCTCTAAGTGGGTCACAGCACGAAGCGGGTGGGTTGGTGGAGTTTATGTAATTCGCACAAGGCACCAGCTTTTGCGCGCATGACGGCGTTGATTGGCCCTCCGCCACTCTCGTCGCCACCATCACAACCACCACCACCACCACCACCACCACAGTTGTCACGGCGGACGTTTTAGGAAAGGCCATCTCTCTCTGTATAAAATTGGTTTCTCTCTCTAACAAAGGCAATTGTTTCTGGTACTAGTTGAGTTTGCTTTTTTTTAGGTGTCACACACTTGAGTGGGTACTTCAATGTGGTGTCGCCTATTTATTTATTGGATCATGTAAAGTACATTGTACACATTGGCTAAAAAGGAAAAACAAAAGAAATATTAATTGCATAGAATTTTATTTTTTAAAAGAAATTATAAAAACAATAAGTTAAAAATTAACCTGAAATATCAAGTTAGAGTTAAAAGAGATAGATAGACCGTCGAAGTTGGAATATTTTTTAGAATTTCAATTTACCTCATATTATGTTAGATTAAGCACCTAAACCCTTAATTATAAAAATAATAATAACAATAGTAATAAATTACACATTACTCTTATTCCATGGTTATTGTGTAATATTTTTAGGAGTTCAAAAGGATTTGTCAAAAAATACTGAAGGCAATTTATTATTTTCCAAGATACATTTACACTTTAAAGATAGTTAGGTTGTGATTTGTGACAGATCGTACAATGAAATTTTCTCTATATTTTAAAAAGTAAAAATAGTTACGAGTGTAAAGATTCTGTGAATTATTGGCCATGACTAAAAAAAAAAAAAAAACTTTAGAAACTTAGAATACCTAGGGATGGCAACAGGACGGAGTTAGGACGAATTTGGCTAAATCCTACTATGCTTAGTTAGAAAATTTATTATACCAACTACGACCTTACTTTGAAACGGATTTATAATTATTATACCGTCTTCGTCCCTACTTTGGTAGACAAAATACCGATTCCGTCCCATGTATTCTGTTTAATTACAGAGTGCGTCTGGGGTGAGCCGGGTTATGCCACTTTTATCACGTGGTTAAAAATAAATAAATAAACTAATCCAATGTGCTCAAATTGGCCTGATAAATAAGTTAGCCCAATTTTAAAATTACCAAGTAGTGAATATTAATATATTAACAGACATTCCCAGTAAAATAATAAGGGTCATAAAAACATAAAATATAAATTTTATATATACAAAAAAACTTAAAAGGTACATGTATAATCGGGGTGGGGTTTGGTTGGGGTCATCACTCAATCGGCCCCCATCCCAAACACGTTTCAGATTTTCAATTATTTTATCATACCCATTCCAAATCCATTTAGGAACTACTAAATCCATGGTGGAGGCGGGTCAAAAACATCGGCCTCGTTGGAAGAAATTGCCACCTCTAAGAACATCGGCCTCATTTGTAAAATTAGAATTGTAAAATCAGAGTTAATTTAATTTTAGTGATAATGTGTTATGTTATAATTTAGAGAGTTTTCATAATGGTACAACGCTGTTTAATTATTGGGTTCAAATATCACCTACAATTATTTAGTCTTAAAAGAAAATGGATTAAAATAATTGGTTGTTGGGCTGGGAAGATGGGCCTAGGGCGGTTGTAACTTGTACTACGAAGTATGAAATCTTCGGGTCCATTTTCGAAACCTTTAGTCTGTCCCTTACTGGGTAATGGGCCTTTAGCAACCCACAAACGAAGATAAAATCCATGACATTAGCTTCCTCATTATCTTAAAAAAATGTGCTTACGACGTTAACCTATATGTACATACTACATAGAAGTCTTAAGACTAACATTCTCATGGATTAATTTTGGCAAGCAAAGTAAAACGAGCTAGTTGGCTTCAACATCTTTCATATATGCTGTAAAATATGATCAACCATATGTCTTGTTAGCTAAGTTTATCATTATGGATTACAATTTTTGATGTTCGTTTCTCAATTACTAATCTCAATTAATTTTTAACATGTTCGTTTCTCAAGCAATAATGATCAACCATGTCTGTTTTATATTGGATATATAAAAGATGAGTGTAAGGTATTTTTATCAAAAGACGTAGATAAAATAATTCGGTATTCTCGCAGAACTACTTCAATAGTATTAATTCACTCAAATGAAAGTAAAGAAGGGTTTAGTGTAATTCTTTATTTTCTTTTCTTTTTTCAATTTTTATTTTTATTTTTTATAAGTAAATCATATATGTTTATTTATTTTAGTAACTTAAATTGTTCTTCACAATCTTCGCTAAGGCTTAAATCCCTAAATTGCTTTTTGGTAAATAATTAGATACTTGCTAAAAACAAATTGTATAGTATATATAATTATAAAAAGTTTCATATACGTGTATATATACTTAGGATGGATTGACTAGCATTCAAACCTTTCCTTTAAAAGTGTGGTGGGTTTATCAAAAACTCTATCTACCTTCTGCTTTTGTTCAAAGTATGAACCACATTGGAGTAAAGAAAGGCATTTATTACACTACCGATAAAAAAAAGTATATGCATCTCTATCTATTTGCTGATAACTTTGAGGAAATCAAAGGAGGAAGATTAGGATGGATCGCTTACCCAAAATAAATAAATAAATAAAAAATTAGAAAAATCACAATCACTTGCTATCAATTAAAATAAGAAATATAAAGTAACGATGTTTTATCTAGGTCTTAAAAACAACCATAAAAGCACTATGCTATTCGGTATTCACACTTTACCATTCAAAAAAGAAAAAAGAAAAAAGAAAAAGAAAAAAGAAGAAGAAGTATTCACACTTAAAAAGCCAATTGTGCTATTTACAGTTTCACACTTAAAAAGCCACCTGAAATAGCAGCCCAAATAATTAGATCATCCATTTTAATTATCTTTTAGCACTGATATTTTGTGACACTTATAAAGAGTGTCTAATAAAACTCTTTGTATAGTCTTTCACCTTTTAAAATGTTTTATTTAAGGATGGGCAAATTTATTTTTTTCCATTTTTTGAGAAAAAAATGATAAAATTGTCTATAGGTATCAGATAGACTCTGATTCAACTTTTAAGACTAGAGTGTGCATCTTGAAAAAGAGTATCTGTAAAATTCTACTATCTATTATAGCATTACTCAAAATTCTATTTATTGGAGTTGCTCTAAAAAATGGATCAAATATTGTAATTTTACCCCTCTTTTTTTCGATAATTGGGATGTCATTTTATCTCAACTAATTCACGTGCGAAATGTCATTTCTTACTAATCAAATAAAACGTGAACTATGCATACGAATGTAATTTCACCTTTACAATGATTTATATTTTGTAGTATTATTTTAAGATTATTGTGGAGTTCAAAAAACCTAACCATTTTTGATTCTTTTCTTTTCTATTACTCCACTAGGCAGGCACTTGAAGATATATCTGAGCCTCTCTCTATATAATGGCTTCCACTCTCTAATTCACAACATCCAAATCCAGTCCTCCACTTCACAGACATGGCAAAACTTGGCTTTTGCTTCTTCTTCTTCTTCTTCCTCTTCTTCTCTAATTACCATTTCATAGTTGTGAAGGCTGAGCCAGCAGCCAGTGCCACAAACTTCATCAAGGCCTCATGCAGAGCCACTCGCTACCCTGCCCTGTGTGTCCAGTATCTCTCAATCTACGCCACCAAAATCCAACAGAGCCAGCGACAATTGGCTCAAACAGCCCTCTCAGTCAGCCTATCCCGGGCTCGATCCGCCACCGCCTTCGTGGCCAAGATGACCCGAGTCTCCGGCATCAAGCCCCGAGAGTACCAAGCCGTGAAAGATTGCGTTGACAACATGGGTGACACCGTGTACCAGCTTAGCAAATCTATCAAGGAGCTAGGACACATGGGTCGAGCCAGTGGTCAGGACTTCACGTGGCACATGAGCAATGTCCAGACATGGGTGAGTGCAGCCCTCACCGATGAGAACACTTGTGTTGATGGCTTCGGTGGCCGTGCCATGAATGGGAATGTCAAGGCTTCTATCAAGAACAGAGTCACCAGAGTCGCTCAGCTCACTAGTAATGCTCTCGCGTTGGTTAATCGCTTCGCGGCCAAACACCGAGCTTCTGAATCCACCAAGCTGCCTTAGATTTATGGTTGGATCTACATGTATAGCCTCAGAGGGTCTCAGCATCTTGGTTTGTGTCTAATTTTTTATATCTAATGTACTCTGTTTGGCTGTGCCAGTTTGCCTTTGTATAGTGCTTGGTTTTGTGCTTGAATCAATTTTGTAGCTGTTGAAATCACCATAATGCTTATGTTATGGTGGTTTATGTGTGGATGTTAATTAGGGTCTCTAAGTAAAGGTGTGTTCTTGTATCCAGTTTTGTTTGTCATGTATTATACTCGTATTAGGCTTGATATATATGTTTTTTTCTTCTCTAGAATGCTAATTTTTGAAGATATTCTATCAATTCATTAGAATTGAAGAGAACAAATCCTTTCTACACTCTTGCTATAAATTTATTTATTTATAGTTAGTGGCAAAAAAAACTTATACACTTTCATTTTGCTCGTCGAACTCTAGCCATTCACTTTAAAAAATAAAAAAACAATATTAATAGAACCACAAAACAAAAACAATATTAATAGAACCACAAAACCCATGGTAAGATTCCAAAGGCAAACAAAGTTCTGCTCCGGTATGCCGGTGACTATTGTTTGATTTTATTTATTTCACTTGCCTTTGATGACTTCTTTTCCTCTACTAATCTCATATGATTGGGTTTTCTCATTATTAAATTCTGTAATCAATACGCTTTATCGAGATGTTGACAGAGAATATAATCAAACCCTCCTTTTGAAAACGTCGGGCGGTAAGGTAATAAATGTACCCGATTGCTTTACCTTTTTCAAAAAAACAAAAATAATAATTATAATTTGTCTGTTGAATTACTAGCATTATTTAAATCGTGTCATGGCAATAATATCATGAATAACATTATTTAAATGCACTCCTCGACAAACTTAACCTTACTAGTCAATGGCTAGAGTCGAAAAAAAAAAAATTGAAAATATACAGTATACATTTGGGACATAAAAGAAATTACATTTCATTAGGTTGATTTTTAAAGAATATTTTTAGTATTAATAATTTATAACTTATTTCACTGTAATTTCTCTTCCTATTTTCTTAAATTGAGGGAGAATATCAACAAGTGATAAGGAATAGCTATCCCTCCCTATTTTTTCTTTTCTTTTCACTTAACTCACCTAAACATATTTTCACACTATCTTCTCTTCTCTTTTCTTTTCTCTCCCTATCCCTTCAAATCAACCCTACCAAATACACCTTAACTAAATTTTAAGTCATCACAAGAATGCTATCATTATTTATAACATTCCCCATTTTTTAGGAAGGGCATTGCGGTGGAATAAACAAAATCATATCACCATGGGGAGACAATTTGGCGCACTCCACGGGATTTATAAAAATTATTTTAAGCATATCACCATTTTCAAAGTAATTTTTGTCGTGTTAGTGTGATTCTTTCGACAACTTTCCACCTTTTTTTCTTTTCTTCTTGTGGAAGACCAAATCTCAAATCACCTGAGCTTAATCTTAAATCATCACAACTATGCATTGATATGTGTGCCAGTATTTATCTAAAATAATTGTGTAGCATTGTTAATCCAATAATTATATAAGTAGTATATATACGCATGACTAAGGCAAAAATAGTGCAAGTAAATCCGTTGAAACCAATAAATGGATATAAAAGATGGGTTAATTTTTTTTTTTTTTCCTGAATGGGTTAATTTATTTAAAATTCTCACACTCGAAGTATGTAAGCAAAGTTACTCATCTGCTTATAATATTGATTAAAACAACACAACATATTATAATAAATTGCATAGATTTATTATAAGTTTTGGTGGTGGTTAAGTCATGTATGTGATGAGTAGCATAGTTTGGTTAGGTATGAAAGTGAAAGTAGAAGGCAGTGGAGCTTAGAAAAGATGTTCTGCAGAAACACACAGAGTCTCGCAAAGTGGATCTGTGACCACGTGAAGCCCAACTGCCCATAAAAAAAAAAAAGTTATTGGGTTTACAGACAGGATCCAAGGTGAGGCCACATGGGAGATCCTATTATTTCCTGCTTTATGGGCCCCAATGACATTGACTAAAAACACATATATCCCTCCAACTTCGATTCCCCCTCTTATCAAATTGTCCATTTAATTTGTCACCAATTAGTTTTATGTTGTTTAGTGAGTACGAGTATTTTTTTTACACCAACAAGAAAACAATCTCTTTCAAGAGTCATATTATAAGAGCCTTCTTGCTCCAAATGACCATAAGAGCCTTCTTCCTCGATGCATGAGTTACAACATTTCTTTTCTAGCCAAACAATCTCCTTCAAGAGTCATATTATAATAATAACCTAGAGCTTAAGAAGAGAGACCTTCTCTTATAATCAGACCTTCTAGCAACCGACGGACTTGAAACATTAAATAATAAAAAAAAAGAAAAAGTTAGTTGCACTCCACCTCAAAGGTTGAGGGTGTGGGGTTTTAATCAAATTCATCCATGTAAAAATTAAGAATATTTTAATTAATTAAAAAGTAATTTATACTCGTACCAGATTGATGATTAACGCATATATAGCTTTAGAATATCCATATAATCTTCTGTGAGTTCCTGCAAAACATTTGAGCGTTTTACTCCCTTCTGAGAGTTGTTGATACGATAAGTCTGAATAAGGGTTTTAAAACCCTTATATATCTAACAACAATAGGGGGGGACGCTTTTTCTACAAACAAGCATATCTAAGTCTTCCTTCCTATCATGGAAATTTAAAAATCAATGGTTAAAATTAAATCACACCAAATAAGTTGGAAAACCACAATCCAACGTGATTCGTGATTCGCATGAATGAAATATCACTCCCAAACAACCGCATAAGATTGTTTATCACTCCCAAACAATCTTTAATAATTATTTTGGATTTACAATATCACATCTAGCCTAAACAACCTCATGAGTGAAATACCACTCCCAGACAAACATAATAGTACGTGCATAAACCATATATATCAAGATAATAACAATGATGCATCATAACTTTATTTTGGATGCCAATAACTGTCACCATAAGGCGTAAATTGGAGGAAAAATAAGTGTCGCGTAAATAAACTAATTGTAATGTAGCATATATAAAAGAAATGCCGGACATCATAACATGATAACTCTCGAATACCTATCCGAATCACGTGCTTTATAAATACTTTATTATCTTCAACTAAAGACCTTTAGTGAGAGGATCTACAATCAAATTTTCTACTCTATCTGGGAACCTCAATAACACCTTCCTTAACTCTCTTACACATGAAAAGGTACTTTATGTCACTCTTAAATTTTTTTCATATATTTAATTAATATAAACCTTTAGAGAAAGTCTGAGTATGCCAGTAGCGTGATCTCTATGGATCCTAATACCAATGACATATTCTGTATACCCCATGTTCTTCATGTCAAAATTTGTACATGAAATTCTCAATATCATGTATCACTTGAATGTCATTACTACCTAACAAAATATTATCAACATATAGGACAAGGAAAATAGAATAACTCCCACTGAACTTGAGGTATATGCATTTATCCATAACATTTTTTTTTAATATACAATTAGTAATCACTATATCAAAATTTGGATACTACTGCTGTAAAACTTGCTTAAGCCATAAATGAGCGATAACGAAAGAATGACTCTTAAAAATTCCTTTAATAAACCTGGAGAAAAAATTCAAAGAAATCAACCCTTAACTTTTGCTTAAACACTTAGTCATCAATGTTGTCTTATATCTATCATATACCTCAAAACACCAACTACAACACACTTCCAAGCTCTAAAAGATCTCCTAAGCTAAACAAGCTTAAGAACTAGATTGAAAACTAAAAGAAAGGCCTACAAGAATAAATAACTAAATGAGTGGGCATAATTGAAAGAGTGGTAATTAGAGCTTTAACTGAAACCACTAAAGAAAGTAGAATGAAGCCTAAAATAAATAAAATAAATGTTGAAAATGTTTTTCTGCAAAAGAAACTACAATATCTTAAACTCCCACTGGATTCGTCACTCTCATCAAATTTGTATGATATATATCAATAATCTCCATAGGTATACTGGACGGTAAAAAAATTTCAATCCTTTAATCTTTTAAGATGCTAAATAAAATAATCATTGATAGTGTGAGTATCAAGCTCTTTGATATCTGCATTATATAATTGTCTCAATAAGACATCCACACACTTCTTTTTTTATTTTATTTTTATTTTTTTTTATTATTATTTTTTTTTTTGTAACTTTATTTTGCCCATGAGAACTAAGAATGGTGTACTATGGAACAATGCCATACTCTTTAAGTATGTACTGAAAGTACTATGATTTACACCATTTTTACCATTCTCCCAATAAAACTCATCACCTTAGTGCGATCTTAAAAACCATAATCACTATACCCAACTACTTTCAACTTTAATCTGGTATATTTTATACACATCAAGTGCTTCGGACTTCTGGTGGATTAAGTACACAATCATACATTGAGAATCCATCAATGAAGACAATGAAATACCTTTGTCGCTACAATAAGAAATGAACCACAAATGTCGGTATAAATATAGTCCAAAAGACTAAATGACCGACTAGCTTCAAAATTGCGTTTCTTAGCATCTATCCTTTGACACAACCAACGTATAAAATTTATGACCCAATAATCTCATCCTTGACCAAGCGTTCAAGTCTCTTTTTTAGAGACATTCCCAATATCCTATGCATAACATAGATAAATCCTCTCTAATCAAAGCACGATTTTATTCGGAAGGTATCGAGTCTATAAAAAAAAAACATTTATCATTCCATGATCAATGTCTTTTCATGTATATTGTTCTGTCTTTCTTTATTCTGTTTAGCTTTATACACTTTCTTGCCACTTAGTTTATTCTTGAAACGATTCTTGCTGCCACGGCAAGATTAGCTGACTCGGTTTTAACATCCTTGAGTCGCTCCCCTTCAATCACACAAAGTGCTAACAGCTGGTTAATGTCACATTAACATCTTGTGAATTATAATTCATCTTGAAAAGCTGAAAAAACCTAAGTAGATAATAGATTACCAAGTGGACAAATAACTTATCATCAAATATGATTCCCTACTACCTCTAATCATTAACCAGCTTGCACATCTTATAGATGTACTTCCTTACTGAACCATTGTCATCATATTTGACTAACATAAACCATGTCAGATAATAGTATTGTAGTTGCTTCTTAAAACCCATTAACTCTTTCTTGATCAAATTAAGAAGCTCATTGGCAATATCAAAACTAGAATATCACCATGAATAGTATCACCAATAGAAGTATAAATTAATCTAATGG